TCCTTTTTTTTTTTTTTTTTTTGTCTTTTCTTTCAGAACCCATCTTCGGAGACGTACCCGCAGATGCCGGTGCTGCGAATGGCAATGGTGACCTCGCCCTCCTTGAGGTCGGCGCCGCTCCGGACGCTCTCGGCGCTGGGGCTGGCCTCGGCGAGCCACAGCTCATGCTTGGGGTTCGTGTAGACGCCGACGTTGGGCTTGAGCTTGGCGGTGCCGTTGGCTGAGGGACTCATGGCGGGGGAGAGTCTCGGAAAGACAATCTGGTGATGTCAGGTTGCCGTGCAAGAGAGATGAGAAAGAGGTGTAAACCACGACTTGGATGAAAACGAATGCTTTTTATACCTGGCGGGCTTGGTCGTTGACTCCAGCTTTGGAGAGGGGAGGAGAACGGCCCGCGTATGCGCACGAATCGGAACGAGAATCGATGAGGGTACGTAAACTAGTTTCATGAACAAGCTTCCCATTCCCTCATTTTCGGAATCATCCCCCGCTTTATTAGTTCAAGGCCGCCACCGACCTTTGGCTCCCCCACCATCAAACCAAACCTAGAAGCGGTTTCGGGGAAGTTGGCGCCAGTCGGCCGGCCGAGTGAGATGCGAGAAGAATGTGGGGGAGATGGCCGGGACTGCCGCGCCAATCACAGCCCGATGGCTGTCGAGGCGGCGAAGACGGATGTGAGTGATGTTTGGCGGCGACGAGGCAAACAGGAATTATTAGCGAGATACGTAGGCAATATACTAGATGCAACTGTACTTTGGCTGCCTTTCAGGAACATCATACTCGAAACTATGGTAGAAAATTTATCCAATTCAGGCCCTTGGCGGTCTCAGTCTGTACATGGGCGACTCGGGGACGTTGACGTCGTTTCCCCGAACAACCAGACGCCAACTCACCAACCCGCAGCGAAGCGCGGGGAAAGGCCAACCTGTCTTGCAATTGGGGAGACTTGCATTCATAGCCTGGTGCAATATTTACATAGACCATATAAAGATCATGGTAATAAGCATGCGAGCAACTGAGAAAGGGGGGGGGATGAAAATGCGCCTTGGGGTGAGGTAGTCAAATCTATCAGGCGACTTCAGCCACGGCGGTGGGACAGCACAGGGTCACACAAACAATGATGAAAAAGAGGCGGGATCGTGGGGGCGAAATGCGAACTGTATAAGCAAACGACACCACATGCGCGCAGCATGAGGCCATCTACAAAACAGCCGTTGTCGAACAAAGCCGCGGGTGCATACATACATGGACTCCTCCTCCTCCTCCTCCTCCAAAATCGCCCGCGCGGGGATTCGCGGTCTTTGCATTATTTTCAAACCATCCTGCGGCCCTTGACTCGAATTGGTTTCGGGCCATTTTTTTGGTCCATCTTTTTTTGACCATGTGCGATCGAAGCTTCTCCTCCTTTTTCTCGCGTATAGACTCGAATGAGCGACGTCGACGTTTTGTGTGTGTGTGTGTGGCACGGACGGCTTTACTTCCCCATCCGTGCTCGGTTGTCCGTGCCGCTCCTCTCTGTCTCTGCCCAGTCTTGTTTGTTCTCGTCCAGCCACCAGGCACAGATACAATAGAGAAGACACATTGTTTTTTGTAAAAAAAAAAAAATTTTAATGAAAAAAAAAGGTAAAAAATCTAGGCATGCCTACTAAGCTCAGGGTCGCCAATATAGGGACAGCAATCCAATGCAATGGGCCGAGGGCGAGACACGCACGAGTCGTACGGGGCAAGCAATGTGGAGAGCATCTGCAAACAATGCCGACAAATTCTCTGCCATGCTGCCATCGCTCGACAAGAATACCTACCTCACAGATACTTGGGAGAGCAAGTCGTACAAGTCGATAGAAGCACGAGTCTGGGTCTGTGTACAGGAAACTGGCCAATTTGGTCAGTAGTAGTAGTGTATTGCTTGCTATACAACGACCATCTTGTTTGCTGCGTCAAATATGGATGCATCCATCGTCTAGCCGTTCTACCGCAATTCGACAAGAACTTTTCACTCTCCAAGTAAACCTTGTTCGTACATGATTGCCCAGAAAATATGCTGCGTCGCGGCGCCGCAGCTTGAGAGCATCGTCCAACAGAGGCATCTTCTAATCAAGGAGAATGGTGCCCCTGCTCGCAAGAACGCCAGATAAAGGAAAAATGCTATGACAGGTAGTCTCAGTCTCGGTGTTAGGGAAATCGAGGATAATTCGTTGCATCTGTAGTAAAATGTTCCGTTGTGTGAAGACGAAGGAGCGCCTGTTGCACGCATCCCTTCCTCTCGCTCTTCCAGATATGGTCTTGCCAGACCACAAAAGAGGCAAAATACGGGACTACCAGTCCGCGTCTTAAAGTCGTCTTGCACACGCTGGAACGAGGCCGTGAATTTGTGTATGTGTGTATGTTTGTGTTTGTGCATGTCCTCTGTTGTGTCCGGGCCCCAGAGCGCAAGGCTGTCTGCTGTGCGGACACGTCTCACTCGCCAACAGAGATGACGACGTCGCCTTTGCACTTGCCGTAGGAGCAGCAAGCCGAAGGATCGAGTTGGCCGTTCAGGATGGCATCGACCTTGTACTAAAAGAAGGCGAGTTTGTTAGTACAATGCAAGTTCGGGGCGTAGATTGAGGCGCGAAACTCACGTCGGGGCAAGGGCCATTGGGGCCAATGGGTGCGGCCAGTACGGGAGAGGCCATTATGGCGGCGATGAGAAAAGTTAATGATCTCATTGTCGAAAACGGCAAGGTTGTGTTGGAAAATCGAGTGCTGTGTGACGTTGGCGAGAATGTTGAGTCGACGGTTAGGCGAGGGTATTTAGGGCCAGTGTCGTGCTCAAAGATCGGGACGTCAAGATATGGCTGGCAATGGCTATCCAGAGTCTGGACAGTAGTCGAGGGATGTGCGGATATGCTGGGTCTTGTATTCGTATCAAGAACGTGTGTAGTAGTGGTAGTAGTAGTGGTAGTAGTAGCCGGCGGGGATGTAGAAGTGGGAGTGAAGAGACGAAGAGAGACAAAAGAGAGTAAGTAGCGTTGGGCGTGGAGAGAGGGATCAGGTCAGGCAGACAAGGAAGGCGATCGCCGTGCGCACAGATGGCTGAGACTTTTGGGCGGGAAAAGTTATGGAAGGAGTGAGCCGATCGTACATTCCCATCCGAGAGGACGGTAACCCGGGCTGGCAGGTAGTAATAAACAGAAGGAGGGGGAGGGGATGTGAGGGGAGATAGGGATCTGGCATGCGTGAATAATAAATACAAGGATGGTTCTTTTTGGTTGGGATTTCCCTTCTTTTATTTTATTTATTTTTTTGATTTATTGGTCTTGTCCATTTTGTGTTTGGCCCCGTCCGTACCTGGAGGAATAGTAGGATTCCGGCTGGCGCTGTACGAGCTGAAGCAAGCCCTCGCTCGTTTCACGGGCAGTCGGGCAAGAGGCCGAGGTGCTGACGAGCCTGACGGGCTGTGGCTAAATTGTGCTAGCCGGGTTGGTTTTACACAAATGACGCCAACAAAAAGGCCATGCAAGACAACTGATAGGTTGCAATGCAAGCGAGCGACAAAAGGTGGTGTACAGGAAGCAAGACTAGAGAGAGGCAGGGGGATGCACGGTAGGGCTCGTTCAGGCGGGAAGGGATGGCACCATGGTAAACTCTGTTGAAAAATTCAATATCGCAAGCGCATGTCTGTTGCCTGCTAAAATGAATGGGCTGGGCTGTTTTTGGGCATATCAAAAAAGGAAGACGATAATTCGGTACTGGAAAAGAAAAGGAAGACAATAGTGAAGGACGCTAGTCAGCCTGCTGGGGCTTGGGTGGTTCGGGTCGGTCTGTCTCTTTAGCACTCCGCTATGACGCATGGTGCGGCTGGAAAGGAAATCAGAGACACGCATGGGCATTCCAGTTCTCGCCCGGGGAAACAAGTTTCATCACGGGAAATAGGGCTGGCATTGGGCACAGGGTGATCAAAATGGGAAGAGGCGGGACAAGGAAGGAAGATTGCAGAAGATTAAGATTGGGAAAATAAACAACAGACTCTCAATAACATGACCAACGAACGCAGGCAATCTTTTTCCTGGCAACTTTAGTACCCGCTGTAAAATCCACCAACAGCACCACTGGGAAGCCACTGTAAATTGTAACTGTACCCACAGCCAACCACGCGCTGCAGGGGCTCCCAGATCACAGCCCTCAGCCCGGCTAGGGCCCTAGAAGTTATAACACGCGGCGGCGCATCTCCGGCCATCCCCCAACGCCAAGCACGGCGGAATGTGCCAAGTTCTGCAACTTCTGCAATTGAACATTGTCCGTTTTTTTCTTTTGCCTTTTGCTTCTCAATGGTTGGAAGTTAAAAAGAAAAGAAAAAAAAAGAAAAAGGAGGAGGCTGCGACGCTGGCGTTCAGAGTACGAGCCCACCCTAGCCATCTTTGGGTTGGTTGGGCTGCTGCGGGGAAGCAAAGAAGCCCGGCCCTGTAGGGCCAAAGTTTCCTTTAAAAAAAGCATCTTCACTTGCACATATGTGTTGTGTGAGAGAGTGAACACGAGGGAGAGGCTTTCTTTTTGCGGCGGTCTCGCATATTGCCCGAAAATGGTCAAACTTTCAAGATGCCGCTTAAACCCAATAATGAAATAAAAATAGCCCTCCCTCCAAACAGCATAAAACCAACACTGCCTTCATCGCCACCTAACTTCAACTCGCTGAAACTTACCAGCATCCCAGCTGCTCATCCCGTTTATGCAAGTCTCATGTGCTCTATGCACCTATATCACCTTCAGGAACTATACGTATATCACCTCTGCTAACGTTAATTAATTCTTCACACTCATTGCCCCCTCCCCTCATGCGTTCGTTACTGCTCCGGCCCTCCCTCCCTTTCTCCCCTCTGGAATGCGCCCACGACAACGGGACCCCAGCAAGCAACCCCCTGGCCAGCCTTGTCATCCGTCGTCATCATCATCCTAACATAATAAATCCTCCTCGTCAGAGAAATCAAGCCACCCAAAAAAGCCGGTTCCTGACGCTATTCCTCAACTAGCATCGGCGTCCCGCTTGCAATTGCCTGTCCCCATTTCGGCGCTTTTACCGCGCTGCCTATTCCGTCACTCCCGCTGTTTCCACTCGACCTGTAATAATCTGTAACTTGGTTATTCGTACCAATAGAGCCTTTTCTTTCCTCTTTTCTCATTGGAAATCTGCCCATCTCCTTATTTTAACCTTTTGCTGATATCGCATGATTGAGACCCGAGTTCCAAAACAGATCAGCAGCAGCCAAAGCCACAGCCCACCACAACAACTCCCTCCTCAGCTGAACCGTTAGCCGAAATGACTTGCACAATTGCTTCATTATACCGTATAAAAAAATGCTCGTTATTTACATCATCTCCTTGTAAGACTAATAGCTGTAATTCCCCAATCGTCAGACGTTTCATCATCGTACGTTGCACCCCTTCCTCACCCCAACCGCCATACCTCCAACCCAACGCCCGCAACCACCACCCGTCGCGACGAGTCATCATCATCATGACCCCCCTCCTTGTTCCCCAGCACCGCGACGTCTCCCGCATCTGCCACGCCGCTGTATGCCTCACCCAGCAGCCGCATCCTCCTGCTGCTGCCTTCACCCGCCTGCGGCAGCACCCGCCACGCCTTCACCCACTGGTCATTGCTCGTGCTCACGAACCGCACCTCCTCCTCCTCCTCCTCGAGCATCGCGATGCCGGTAATGGCCGCCGCGTGCGCCCCCTCCACCACCGCGCCCAGCTCCGCCCGGAAGCCTGACCCCCCCTCTGTCTCCCGTAGAAGCGTCGTCCACGCCAGCGCGTTGTCATCGCCGCCCGTCACCACCCCGTGCCCTCCGCCGCCGGCGCGCAGCCGCACCACGTCCAAGCTCTTGACGCTGTTCTGGTGCACCCGCAGCGTCTGCACCAGCTCGTACCTCCCGCCATCACCTCTCCAGAGCGCCAGGTATCCGTCCGTCGCCGCCGTCACCACCTGCAACGCACCACCAACGTCCAGGTGCCGCGCTTGGGTGAGGCACGCACCCGTGTACCGGCCCTCGCAGATGAGCGCGAAGCCGTCCGCCGGGGTGTAGCGGTACGTCCGCACCGCCGAGTCCGACAGCGCCACCGTCACCAGCGTGCCGTCGTCGTCGGACACGTCCAGGTCGGTGATGCGGAGGTCCTCCCGCGCGCTGCGCTTGTCTGCCAGCGCGCCCTCGCAGACGACCGCCACGCGGCCATCGTCGAGCGTCCGCACCCGCCAGGCGAACAGCTCCTCGTTGCCGCCCGCCGAGAAGAGGTACTCGTCCCCGCGACACCATTGCACCTTTTGCAGCCCGACCACGTGCCTCTTCATGTACGCCACCGGCCTCATCATCGCCCCGTTGGCAGCCCAGATCCGGATCGTGGTGTCCTCGGCGCCGGTGGCTACGTACCGGCCCGTCGGCGAGGCCGCGACGGAGCGCACCTCGCGCCCGTGATGCCCCGGTCGCACCACGACCGACGTAGCGCCCCCCCTTTGCTGCTGCGAGTGCACCGCCAACCTAGAGGTCCTCGTAAACGCAAACCGCAGGTCTTTCTGCTCGCCACGGGCTAGGCGAAAGGTGCGGTGCGCGCCGCCGCAGTTCGTCGCGGCCAGCTCCTCCCGCCGCGTCTCGTTCCACACGACGAAGTCGGTGCTGCGGAAGCCGTACAGGATGAGATCGCCGGTGCCGGGGGTGAACCACGCGCCCTCGATCCACGGGCCAAACGGCGGCGCCGTCTCGTGTACAAGCGTCATCCGCGCGGCGGCCTCGGCGACGTCGAGTTGGAAGATGCGGTACTTGCCGTCGCGGCTCGTCGTGAGCACGTACTTGGTCGCTGGGCTTGTGGGGGATGGCGGCAGCGGGACGATGGCGGTGACGGCGTCGCCGCTCGCGGGCGGCAGGTCCAAGATGGGACGGAACGCACCGCCGGGGTCTCTTCGTAGCAGGGCGATCCAGCCGTGGCGGGAACCGATAGCTAGTAGGTCGTCGCCGATGCGCGCCGCGGACATGGCCACGAAGCGCGCGTCGAGCCCGGCGACCGCCTCCTGCCGCCTCGGCGCACCCGTGGTCCGGTCCAGCGTCAGCAGCACCGACGCGGCGTCGCGGTGCAGGTGCACCAGCGCCTCCACCTCTTCCCCTTCCTCGACTTCCAGCGAAGTTTCTGATAGCGCGGTAATCTCCACCACGCGACCGGCGAGGCCCGCGATCCTCGTCAGGCGCCTGTCGAGCAGCCCGAAGTAGTACACGCCGCCCGTGACGGACCCGAGCAGCGCACCGCCGTGCGAGACCGTCCGGACCGCGTACACGTTCCTCATGTCCTCCCGCGCAGCCTCGTCATCCACCGTAAGCGCCTCCCACGTAGCAGCCTGCCCGCCGCGGAACGTGGCCAGTAGCACCGTGCCCATGTTGCTCACCGCGAGCAAGACATCTGGCGTGATAAAGTCGTACCGGCCGAGCAGCTCCTTGCGCTGCTGCTTAGTGGTCGTCGTAGCAGCCGGCGACGTCCGGCCCATAGAAGCCATAACGTCCTGCACGTCCCACGTCTGCGTGCCGTCGTCGCGCGCGGCCGGCACATCCCCGACCAGCGTGATCTTGCTGTCCGCGCCGCCGGCCAGGACGTGCGTGGTCGGCACGCCGCCACCCGCAGTGTCGCAGACGACGGCCCGCGACCACAGGTGCTTGCCGTCGTGCAGCGTGTAGGTCTTTTCGTGATCCAGGCGCCGCGGCTCCCGCAGCGCGGCCGCCACGTCCACGCTCCAGCGCTGCGCGGTCGCGTCCTCGCCGAACGAGTACACCGAGACCACGCACCGACCCGAGGTCCAGGGCTGGAGTTGGGCGGCGGTCATCGCGGGCACGGAGGGGAGGCCGAACTGGACGCCCCAGATGCGCGAGGCGTGTCCCATGGCCGTCGCGATCGGCGCGACGTCAGCGCGGCCCTCCCCGCCTCCGACGACCGCCGGTGCGCATCGGAAGCCCGTGTCCGACACCCCCGTCGCCGCCGCCGGGCTCGTCTCCTCCTCCGCATCTCCCTCGCTCTCCGTAACGTTCCAGATGCGTATCGTGCGGTCGTCACTGCAGCTCGCCAGCAGCCGCACCCCTCCCCAACCCGGCACCTCCATCAGCGGCGAGACGTGCACGCCAAAGATGGACCCCTCGTGCCCCGACAGCGTGTACAGCATCCGCGGCGCGCTCCCTCCGCCAACCGCGGTGTGCTTCCAGACGAGGACGTCGCCAAACACCGTCCCCGCGGCTACGAGCACCTCGCTCGCCGACGTCCAGCACACGTGCGCCGCGTAGAGCATCGGCCGCGACGGCGACGCCAGCCGCCCCTCCACCTCCAGCCTCCCGTCGCAGAGCCGCGCAGTGAGGACCTCGTTGTGCGCGGTGACGAGCGCCACGAGCGCGTGGTCGGATGGGCACGCGGCGCCGTCGTAGATCCAGTCCGGCGCCTGCAGACGCGCCACCCGCGGCTGCGGTAGGAGCAGCAGGTCGGTCAGGTTCAGCACCGCGACGGAGGGGCCGCCCCAGAGTAGAACGCTGTTGTGGTGCACGCGGATGCCGTGGATGGGCTGCGCGCTCAGCACCCCGCGCACGCGCGCCACTTCGCGCTGACACGCATCGTCATCGTCTTGGATGCGGTAGACGACGAGGTCCGTGTCCTCGCCGGCGAGGGCGTGCAGCGCGCCGGTCGCGGGGTCCCGGAGCAGGGCGACGGCGGTGATGGGCACCTGCGCGAGCTCCCTGCTAAGCTTTACGGCTGCGGCGGCGCATGTCTGAGGTAACCGGGTTAGTCGTCGCTGTTCTAATCATGTATTGCGCAAATGCGGTGCGGTTTCAGGCATGAAGTCGGCGTGGTGATGGTGGGTGTCGAGGTTACCTACAGTCATGGTGGATGGGCACAACTCTGCTGTCGCGGGGTGCGTGTCGGTGCCCGCATAAAGCGCTTTCTTTGCCGTAATTTCACACGTATATATAAAGAGCCTTTTATCAATTCATCAATATTTGCTCGCACGCTGTCAGGTTGCAAGAGCGTTTTGTTGTGTGATGATATGTGCAGCTCGAAAATTTGCTCCACAGCGAAATTCTAGATGGTGCAAAGTTTGGTGGCCCCAAGCTGTTCAAATGTAGTCGACGGCTCGCAAAATCACCATACTGGCCTACAATTCACAGGATATTGTTCAGTGTAAGCTATGATTTGATTGTTCGTTATATTGTCGTTGCGAATAAAGCTAGTACAGGTTTTGCCCACTATCTATGCGCATAAATATATTTGTCCATAATCATGAGCACCACCCAAGGTGCAATTTCCAAAAGAAAAAAAAACGCCAGTCTAAGCCACCCTTTCGCTCAAAAACAAGTGTCAGTGATAAAGCACGAGAGACGGGAGGCCTGCTTATGCGCGATGCGAGTAGGGCTCGTAGGCCAGGTCGGAGCGGCCGTTGCCGGCAGGGTAGCGAGCTGGCTGGCCGTTGTAGTAAGCGCCATTGTTGTAGCCAGTGTGATGCTGAGGTTGCTGCTGCTGCAAGCCAGTCATTTCGTGTTGCTGGCTTCCAAGAGGGGCGTAGCCGCGCGAGGGCATGAGCTTCTCGCCATCGCCATAGCTATCGCGGTTGCGAGCGCTGCGAGCGCGGTCGGGCTTGCAGCAGCAAATGGTAAAGACCCAGAAGAGGCTGGCACCGAGAGCAAAGGCTGCAGAGATCCAGACAGCAGCCAGAAAGCTGGTCTGGATGCCGCCCCTGACGCCGTAGACCTTGGCCGTGGCCTCAACGGCGCCGACGACAGTCGCTGATGTCCCCGTGGCCAAGGCAGCCGCAGCAAACACAATCGTGGTAGTAATGCAGGCGATGAGCCAGGTGACGCAGGAAACAAAACGCGAGCAGCTTGCGAGGATACCGATGAGCAGTTCGACACCGAGCATGATGTTGGCAGCGATGAAGGCAATCTCGGTCACCTTCATGATGGTGCGGAAGGCCTTGATGGGCTCCTGGATGTCCTTGGGTAGGGGAATGGAGACGCCAGCCTGGGTGCCAAAGCTTTTGAGGTAGGTGTCATTGAGAGCGCTGGAGGCCCAGTCGAACTCGGCCTTGGTGCAGTTGCGCTTGTTGTCCTTTGTGTAGCAGAAGCCCCAGAGATCGACCTCGAAGACGTAGTCGAGGTTCAGCTCCTTGGCCGTGATGTTTTGGCCGCCGGTGGCCTTGTTGAGCAGACCGTCAATGTCGATGCCAAGATCCTTTCCGATACTGCTGACATCGACGCCGGCGCCCTTTGCGATGCTCTCGATGCCGGCTCTGTCGAGCGTCAGGTTGGTGGTGTCGAGCTTGAACATGAAGGTGTTGCGGTGGGCGACACCGGCGAGGGTGGCGTAGAGAAGCGCGGCGAGTGAGGCGATTGTTAACAGCAGTGGCAAAGCCACGCAGAGAGCACGACCGACCGCCATGGCTGTGTGTGTGTATGTGTGTGGTGGGCTGCGTGAAGTATGTGTGTCGCTCTCTGCTGCAGTGTGACACGTATGGGCGAGAGAATTCGAGAGTCGCAGGCGGGTTCGTAGGAAGGTGAAATGGAGGATTCGAAGCTCGAAATATGCCAAAAGATGCAAAACGGATATGCAAGATGATGGAACGAAACGGCCGGGGGAGATGCAAATGGACGGAGAAAAACACGATGGATGGGATGAAAGAGAAGGGGAAAAAGTGTGGGAGGATGACGGCTCGTTTATATTCGTGTTGGCATGCGCATGTGAGGCTGCGTAACGGAAGCAACAAGGACCTCCCCCCCCCCCCCACCACACGTCAGTCAGCCCAAGCAAGGCAGCTTGTTCATCTTTCTTTAGCGGGGAACTGGGGCTTGCACTGGCCAACAAGCAACAAAAAGAAGGGGCGGCGTGGTGGCGCAGCTGCTGCGTGGCAGGGCAAGTCGCACCGCCATAATGGGCAGCGCAGAGTGCGGGATAACGGCTGCAGGATGGTGTGTGTAATGCAGAGTTACATGGTTTTTTTTTTTAGAAGAAAAAGAGCAAGACCAGGAAAAAAAAAACGATGTTGGACTTGTCAAAGTCAAAAAGTCAATCCACAGACCTACGTAACGCGACAAGTCGACCTACTGGTACTACCTACCTACCTAGCCCTTCATGATATAGCATCCATCACACTGAGTCGTACCAAACACTTTCCCGGCAGTGCTGCGACTTGTTGCTGACAGTTTGAGACTTTTATTACCTTGGTACTTTTTTAGCGGGTCTCACCAGCCAAGGGGTTTTGCCAAGTGCTCTCTACGAGCAAGCAGCAGTGATGGAAAGTGAAAAAAAGGCTTCCTAGTCCACTAAAATAAGAAGAGGCACCGCCTCGCATATGCTCCCACCACCCAAAACGGGCATAACAAGGCGAGTTGAGCAGGTTGGTTGGGCTGCCACCGGTATTCAAACAAAGAAAAAGGCTCGCCCATCCATGTTATTAATAGCAGCTACCACCTAAGATGATGACGGAGGGAGCCTGCATCGTTCACCAACAAGGTTTGGTCGCCAGCTGAGGCTTGACCCTGCGACAACGATAACCCCCACAGCCGACTTGCCGCATTATTCCTCATTGAGATAATTATCATCCTCGTTTTGAATCTGATAGTCATTTTATAGCAGTTATACGGTTCTGCTCCCTCCCTCGCCCCGGGTCGCAAGCTGCCTTGTCTATCATCTCTCATTGTCATCGTCGGTGGCCCGCCAACCTCTCCGGTCCACATATTATGTAGCCAGGTTGTAGATAGATGGGCCAAGTACGAACATCAATCCGCCACACACGCTCACGTCGGTTCGTATTATCAAGCTTCCTCTGCGACAGTAGCCGATCTGCACATTGCCGCGTCAGCGATCACAAACAAACACCCGTGCTTCGCCTTTCCCCCCACCACCCACTTCATCGGAACATCAGCAGCCCAGCCATCGAACCAGCAGCAACCGCCCCTCCTCCCACAGCACCATGGCCGCCGGCCGGCGAAACCTCCTGCTCTGCTTCGACGCTTTTGGCACCCTCTTCAGCCCCAAGGGCACCGTGGTCCAGCAGTACGCCCGCGTCGCGCGGCAGTGCGGAATCGCCGACTTCTCGGAGGACCAGCTGTCGACGCACTTGGCGGCCGCGCTGAGCCGAGAGCGCACCCTCAACCCCAACTACGGCAAGGCCACCGGCCTCGGCGCTACCCAGTGGTGGACAAAAGTATGCGAAGACCGCCTTGCCTAACAAAGGTCTCGCCGTCCGTCAAATGTTGCTAACCGCAAGTTGCTTTCTCTCTGCTTCCGACTTCCCATAGGTTATTCATGACACATTTACGCCCTTGCTTCGAAAGCAGCAGCCGTTTCCGCCAGCTCTGGTTCCGGCCTTGCTCCGGCGCTTCGCCTCCGATGAAGGTTACGACGCGCAGCCCGACCTTGTCCCCGCGCTGCGGGCCCTACGCCATCCCGAGTCGCAGCACGCATTCGATGAAGTCGTCATCGGCGTCGTGACCAACTCTGACGATCGGGTCCCAAGCATCCTGTCCTCCATGGGTCTGCACGTGAGCCCTTTGCGCTACAGCGCCAACGATAACTACAATGCGCAGACCAATGACTACCAACACCGCCGTGGAGACACCTACGACGTCGACTTCCACTGCATGTCCTATGATGTGGGGTACGAGAAGCCTGACACGCGCATATTTCAAGCCGCCGAGTCCATGCTGGCCGGCATCCTCGCGGCGCGCGAGGGGAGGAAGGTGACGATGGAGTCGCAGCTGCCACAGGGCTGGTACAAGGTCTTTGTCGGCGACGAGCACGCCAAAGACGTCGTAGGCTCCGCCAACGCCGGCTGGCACCCTATCCTACTGGGCGCTGATGCGCAGGCCTCCGCCGTGGCCAGCCTCGAGGACTGCCCACCCGGCCATTCACTCGCTGACGTGTTTCGGCTTCATCCTGTCGTACGCGTGCCGTCGATTCGGTCGTTGGCGCTCTGGCTCTCCAGGCCTCAATGGACTTCGCATGAAGAGTCCTGACTGCAGGATCAAGGTTTCATTCCCTTAATTGCCAAGCGTAGATGGGCCGATTGTGGCCTTCGAGGAAACATGGTTCGTCAGCTGCCACCACGCATGATATATCAACTGCTGTGTGACCCTCTCCTTCCTCCGAACCGCAGCAACTTGGACGCTATATATATCGACAACACTGCCACGAAACACGTGGACTATATCTCGATTAGCGTTAGCCCCGGTTTGTAAGAATTGATGGCGAAGCCTTCCTCCACGCGAGCAGGTGGGTACTAAGACGCTCGCTCATCGCGTTGCACAGTGGTCGTCGGTATGCACAGTTGAGCAGAAGATTGGCTCGCCGTGCTCCCATTGAATACGTCACAGTGTTGATAACATACACAATGATTGGCATACAGTAACCATACCGTGGCACAATGCTTCTCTACTGCCTCACAACTGAGATTCGCGTAGATGGTTGGGTAGTCCGTACTGGTCACCGGACTCCAGATCGTCATATCGATTGGACATGTTTTAGTGCATTTGAATATCTGCCCAAAAGAATCAGCATCAGAGGAATATAAAGATTTGCTTATCACGAACACTTTTTTTCACATGTCCAGTTACGTCTGGATTTGGATACGCGCAATCGACAGCTTGTGGCACCAGCATGACGTGTGTGGCCAGGCACAACAGCACCGCCACCATTTTGGCGGAGCATCCTATATTTAGAATTGGAAGCCACGCCAACCATGAGTCTGATGGGATCTCTCTATCAATATTGAACGACTGATCAAGAACGGTTTATTGCGGCATTTGCCAACAGCAATATTTTCGTGGCGTGCAAAAAGCGGCATGTAATTGGTGGTACCATAATGGCCGGCACACAAAGTGAGGAACGACCATACTGGTAGACGTGGCATATGCACAAGCCCAAGACACTGCTCTGTTGTGGTAGGAGGCGAGCCGACGCGTCCTGTGGGTTGTATACTGAGTTGTCGGCTTCTAAGCGGAATTATTCGGCCTTAACGCAAAGATAATGTGATTGACTAGTTGACCCCGCACCGCCGGAGATACGGGCGCGAGTCTATACAGTTAGTTGACTGTTAGGCACCAGCTACTACTGAGAAGCTCGCAGTTGGACGCCGGCCAGTTGAGCTGGTCTGGAGTCGCTGACATTATACTGTCAATATAGTATGTCGGGCAGTACATTGTGCAGCAACGGTTGCAGAGTATTGCGGATAGCACGGCGGCCCAACGGTATCCCCTGCTTAGCGGGCGCTAGATTTGGGCGCCGATGAAATTGCATTTGGCTGCCTGAAGTCAATAGCCCGGCCGCGAATGTCATGAGGCAATCTCAAGGCCGCAGCGGTCAGCGAATGTTTTTTCGAGTTCAGTACAGGGCTCATCGACGCCCGCAGAATTGTGCCGGGAATGGGACGCCCAGGGGGAGATGTGTGTGATGCGTCGGAGATGTGTGACTCGAAAAGTCAGCAGCTTGGGGTTGGAACCGACCGTCACGAAGAGATTTACATGTCCGACTCCGTTGACGGCGACGGACGGCGACGTGTGGAGAAAAGAGGTGGCGCCGATGCCCTGGCTTCGGTGGCCAGACGGGCGCAGTCCGGCAGGGAACTGAGGGCACAAAGCGCAATCGGGCAGGGGTTGGCCCCCAGCAACTGGCGGGACGAGCTGTCGGTCAAGCGATCGAGGTGGCGAGGGGTTGAGGAGGGACGACAAGACGGGAAGAAGAGCTGGTGACTGGTTAAAGAGGGAGGCAGAGATGGCGGCATCGTCGTCCTCGCACGAGTAAAAACAAGGGCTTCAGCTGCAGAAGTGTGAGCAGGCGAGGCTCGTCAGTGGTGGGAGTGCGCGGGCAGACGTGGGGCAGATCCCTGGCTAGTGTGGCACGCCCGCTGCAAAGAGCGCCGCGTCCGGACAGCTGGAGCATGGCTGGAGAGCGGTAGCGGGCATGCTAGCGGCCGGATGACCTGCGTGGACTGATGGCGTTGCGTTCGAGACCCAAGGCTGTGAAGCAGAGCGACAAGGTTGTGATATCTGGGGATGTGTAGACGCGGGAGCTGAAGAGATGATGTATGACGCGTTGGGGGGGATCGGAAGATGTAGGAGGTGAGTTTGGAGGAGAATGAAACAAGAGGCGTGACAGCGATGGGTGGGAGGCAGCTGGCGGTTGTAGTAGCGGCTGGCAGCTGGCAGCTGGTACCAACTGGCAACCCAACAACCCAGATCCGTGGGCAGTTGGCAGGTTCAGTTATTCGTACCTCATACCTATTGTAGATCTGTATCAGGTTACTGGAAAGGAACAAGGCCCGTGCTGGTGGCTGGTAGGGCAGCTAAAGTACCTAAAAAGTTCCCGTCCTAGGCCCAGCTGGCTGTTGCCCGATCCCGCTGCAGCCCCGTGCAGCCAGCGTACAGGTGCAGATCACCTGGGAGTGCCGGCCTACCTTCTCCAGGCTAGGGACCTAGTACTGGAGGCATGTCCACTGTCCCGCAGTGTTTTACACCACCCGCAGCCGCTCAAAAGAGCCTGCCGAGAGGCTGTCGTAGGGCTGCTGTTGTTGATGATGGTTGGCCGCGCTGTTTGTCTCTCTTCGCCTGTGTCTGTCTTTGTCTGCCTGCATTGGTTCGTTCCGCCTCAACACCAAAAAACGCCAGCTGGCGCATTCTCACGCACCTCAAACGCAACTCATCTCCTCTTCTGCTGCCTCCGCCATCCTATCCGTCATCTCTCACATCCTCTGCAGCCCTCATCTCGACTTCGACTTCATTACTATCTTCTTCCGTGCCACACAGTTCTCTCCTTCCCCCAGTCGCCGCCGGCCTGCAACCCCACCGCCACCTCAGCCGGCTGCTGGCCTCTGTGGTGCTACGGCCCTCACTCTGTGGCCCGCGACACCCAACAGCGACCTGAGTTATCAGTACTAAAACTAGTTGACTCCCCGGGTGCGCCTCCGGCTCGCCAGCTCCGTCGCTTCTACTCGGTACCATTCAGACTCAACCAAGGATAAGGATTCATCATTGTCCGCTCTCGCTCTTCCTGCTTCTCGCTAGGTTCTCACCTAGTAGTTGTTAGTTCCCTTCAACAAACAAGAGCTCTTGCGCCGCTGAGAAACCTTAATCGCTGTCGCCGCTTTTCGCCCCCCCCTCCACCCAATATCCGCGCCAAAAGCTGCCAAAGTCATAGACTCTTCCTTCGTCTTTGTCAGTCCACACTATCTCACACATTTCACACTACTCAGCGCCCTCTTCTCCATTGTCATTCTCTATCGCCATTCTTCTTCCATAATCGGGCCATCTTCTCCGGTTGGTAAGTTTTGCTTCCCTCATTTGCGCTCAAATCCATGCCTCCCTCACTGTTGGGTCCGCGCCTCGTCTTGCCCTGTGTTTTCGCCGAACTCGATTTGCTCCGAACCTCTTCTTGCTCCCGCCAGTGACGTCCAGAATCCTTTGCACTGCCTCCTGCTTTTTCCCCCTCTCAATCGCAAACTACTTCGTTTCCTCGCCTCCTCGCCTCCTCGCCTCTCCCTCGGCCTCCCGAGCAATGCGCCGTTTCTCTGTCGGCTCCCATTCTGTCTCTCCCTGTTGGTGCTTGTCGCTATTCCCGCCGCCGTTCCGCGCAGCAGCTTCGAGACATTGGCCCATGCTCTTTGAGACCGTATGACGACTTATTAGCAAACCGCTCCCGTTCGCTCTTGTGTCCCTACCTCTGCAGGTACATGAACGCGGCCGTCCATCGTTGCATCGCCCGGCTAGCTCTGTCTTGCCTTGCCTACTAACCTCTTCATCTCTATCCGTACCCCCGTCCCAGCGAGTCGCGTTTTTTGCTTTGCCCTCCTTGTCGCAGCCTCTTTGCCGCCGTGGCCGTGCTCTCTTCTTCTCCTCCTGCTTGCTCCTCACTCCACATACCCATTCTCCTGCATGTTGCATCAAGTGTCTCTGCTGACGTGAACTTCTTTCTCAAAATAGTTTCCCGCCATTTCCGGACCCTGTCGATTCCTGCCCGCCTCGGCACCGAACTGTCTACCCTGCCCTGCAGGCTCAGTCACTTCCCACGGACCACTCGACGTCATCATTGCTACCGTATCGCTGTCGAACATTGCTTTTTGTGGCCATTCGCAGCATCCCACACTGCCACCAGACCCGTGTCTCTTGCCCCGCGACTCACATTTCACCATTCAGGGCTGTTTTGACGCCGATCGCTCTCTCCCGCATCAACGCTCTTCCGCGACAACAAAATCTCAACCAACCCCCAACCGGCCCCCTCAATCTTGGCATTTTCCTGCCGCAAAACCTGGCTTCTCCTTGGCAGTCCCTCCTGTCTTCCGTCGACGGTTAAGCGGCGCCTGAGACAGTCACACTAGACTCCGTCGCCACACGACCATCATCGCGGCCATGGGCAACCAAAGCTCCAAGCCCGATGGCGGCTCGCCTAAATCTGGCTCCGCTGACGGAAATTTTCAGTCTTATCCCTCCATCAGCAGAAGCGACACCAAGGAATCATCCCGGTCATTTCGCTCGTTGAGGTCAAAGATTCCAGGGACTTTGAAAACTGACAGCCCCAGAAACTCTACACTGCTCAGCAATGGAGATTTCGAAAAGGGCCCCGATGCCGCCTCCGTCCGATCCGGCAAAAGCGGCCGTTCAAGCGCTTCCCGTGGCAGCCGCGGCGAAAATACACTCAAACATAGTTCTACTGACATGTCGATTGCGGACTCTATGCTCTCCAACGAGCAACCGCCGCCATCACCCGTCCAGTCCAGCGCTTCTAAGAGTCCCGGTCTTCACGACGTGAGCGCCGCCCAGGCCAGTGGTGAAGTCGACCATGTTTCCGACCAGCCTCCCTCAGCAGCCGCAGCCAGCGCCAACACCCACCTACAATCTCCTGGACAATCAATCTTGGTTCGTCGCGACAGCGCCAATAGCCAGGTCATGCATAAGACGCCCTCGACCGAGTCCACCAAGGCCGACAGCAACTCCAACGTTGCCATGGCAGACATTAAAGAAATGGATCTCGACGATTACATCAAGCGTCTTTTGGATGCTGGCTATGCTGGCAAAGTCACGAAGAGCGTGTGCCTGAAGAATGCAGAAATTGTCGCCATCTGCCAGCGCGCACGCGAAGTGTTTCTCTCTCAGCCCGCTTTACTTGAGCTCGATGCGCCAGTCAAGGTTGTCGGTGACGTCCACGGACAATATACTGATCTTATCCGAATGTTTGAAATGTGCGGCTTCCCACCCATGGCTAATTATCTCTTTCTCGGCGACTATGTCGACCGCGGGAAGCAGTCTTTGGAAACTATCCTTTTGCTCCTGTGTTACAAGCTCAAGTTCCCTGAGAATTTCTTCTTATTGCGCGGTAATCACGAATGTGCCAATGTCACGCGAGTCTACGGCTTCTATGACGAGTGCAAGCGAAGGTGCAACGTCAAAATTTGGAAGACATTCATTGACTGCTTCAACACTCTCCCGATTGCTGCCATTGTCGCTGGCAAGATTTTCTGCGTCCACGGCGGTCTCTCGCCAGCACTCAGCCACATGGACGACATTCGAAACATTGCCCGCCCTACCGACGTTCCTGACTACGGTCTACTCAACGATTTACTTTGGTCTGATCCTGCAGACATGGATCAAGATTGGGAAGCCAATGAAAGAGGGGTGAGCTATTGTTTTGGCAAGAGAGTCATAACCGACTTCCTCGCTGTCCACGACTTTGATCTTATTTGTCGTGCACATATGGTCGTGGAAGATGGCTACGAATTTTTCAACGATCGCGTTTTAGTGACAGTGTTCAGCGCACCCAACGTAAGTTTTGCTCTGTACTTTGCAGAAGATGCGCTAACTCGACACAGTACTGCGGCGAGTTCGACAATTGGGGGGCCGTTATGTCAGTCAATTCGGAACTTCTATGCAGCTTTGAGCTCCTCAAGCCTCTCGACTCGAGTGCCCTCAAAAGTCATATCAAGAAAGGCCGTAACAAGAGACAACACATGCTGAACAGCCCTGTAAGTACTCTAGGTCTCAACGAATGCGAAGCCTATGCTGACAAAATGCAGCCCGCAAGCGTCCATCCGCAGAGTGTATGATGAAGCCTGCACAAGTCATGTTCGAGTTGACTCACGCCTGGACATATAACATCGCATTTTGCATGATAGTTGTCGTAGCACCGCGATGATTGCTTTGAGTTGCCTTCGGCTCAGAAGCGCTGCAGGTGAACATTACCTCTCAGCCCCTGTCGTGGAGCGAGAGGTGCTGCGAATCGATTCGGTAATACAGCCGGAGGAGACATCTACCAGAGCTTCATGAGCACACTTTTACGGCCTCCGTGCTTACATTTCGCCCCTGTGGGCAATTATCACTGGCGTTGGATGGCCACGACGCAGGTTGTCGATTGGCTAGGCGTTCTGCTTGTTTCCTTTTCTTATGGTGCAAAAATACTTGGGAACATTTGTTGTATAGTGAGTGGTTTGAACTTTGAAGAACTGTGCTACTAGGGCCTGTCCGTGCCGCATATGGCGCAGCGATGGGCCATGTTGGGATGTTGTATTACGAAGTCGGCGTAGAGCCGATCGATGGTGGGCCACACAGGCCGATGTAATGGGTCATTTAGCATATCTCCTTTGAATTTCCTTAATATGAGAATCATTATGAATCAAATTAATTGAGATATGAGTTTCATTCATGCTTTAGTACAGTGTAGGTGTGCAATTTCGCCGGCACGGACAGAGATGTGATGCGAGACCTGTTGCTTAGTCACCACCAACACCCTGGAAGAAATTTGGGGTCTGAAAGGAGCTCTGGAAATTTGGGCGGCCAGCACTTCGACACAAGAGCACGCTCAACAACACAACCACGCACGCAATGAGCACGCCGACATTTCGCTCGCTGGTCTGCTCGCGGGGCAGGCCAGAGCTCCTCAAGACGGGTCAGGCGCTCAGTAACTACTTTCGCGAGTTTTCCACGACGCAATCGCTCGCCGACGATGCCGCCCCCAGCGGCCGCCCCAGCAACGGCGGTAACAGCGACCGAGGACGAGGCAACGCCCGCCAGCGCGGCCGCGCAGCGGCGTCGGCCATCAACACCATGGTGAAGAACCGCGGGCCATCCACCAGCGGACCGCGGCGCGCCGGTGGTGCTCCTGCCGGCGCGGGAGGAGCCCCAGGAGGACCCAAGGTGCTCGACGTCCGCAGCCTGCCCAGGGGTCTGGGCCGCGGCGGCCGAGGCGGACGAGGCGGACGAGGCGGCCGCGGGGGCTTCCAGGGCCGCGGCGACGCCGGCTCCGCAGCCGCAGCCGCAGGCCCAGGAGGCACCAACCGGTTCGCGCCGGGCGGCGGACGTGGACGAGGCGGTGCCCGTGGTGGTCGTGGTGGTCGCGGCGGCAACGGCGCCGTGAGGGGGGGTCGCCGTCCGGAGGGCGAGAAGAGGGAGCCCCGCGCTCCCGGCGCCGGCGCCGGCGGGAAGGACCCGTTCGAGATCATGGACCAGGCGGTCCGCTTCCGCCAGCCCGAGCCGTACAGCGACCCGAGCCTGGACGTCGCGGGGCTGCTCGCGCACGCGCCGGCTGTGCCTACCAGCGCGTCCGGGCGCCGCGCGGCCGTCGTGGCGAGCCTGCAGGCGATGGGCGGCGGCACGAGCGACCTCGTGGGCGCCGCCACCGGGTACCTTCCCAACGGCGGGGGCGGCACCGCCGCGGTGGAGGACCGCGTGCAGAGGGACGGGCTGGCGTTCTTCGCGACGCCGGAGGCGCGCGCCTGGGCGGAGGACCACGCGCAGCAGACCATGAAGCGCGAGGAGGAGGAGGAGGGCAAGGAGACGACGACGCCCGTGTTCGCGCCGGCGGGCGAGGCGGTGCAGAGGGCGGTGCTCCGCGCGGCCGTGGAGGGCGCGCATGAGACGCCGCGCTTCGCGACGGACGTCCACGGCATCGTGCGCGCGCAGCACCTGCGCGCCGGCAGCTACGGGCCCGCCGCGACGGCCATGTTCGAAAAGAAGCTGCAGAGCCTAGTGGGCGCCCCGAAGCCGGCGGCGGCGACCAAGGAGGCGGCAAAGGCCAAGCCCAAGAAGGCAGCAGAAGCCAAGGAGGCAAAATCCAAGGAAGCAAAGGCTTGATCTGTCTGCATCAGCGGATCACGCAGATGTACTAATACAACAACGGCGACGACTAGGGGTGGATTGATTTGCTGTGGAAAAAGACATTTAGAGCGAGGATTCTTGGTGGAGAGGGGGAGAAGAAATGGTGTATCATTGCGGCTTGTGCAAAAAGCGGCCTGTTGTTTTAACGCTCTCATCAATGTACATGTACTATAGTATACAAAAGAATTCAAGATGTGAAAGTATCATCTGTTCACTTTTTACACCTCTTGTCCTTTCACACGAGCCTTTCTTTCCGTGCTCCTTAGTTCCTGCTGACCTGCTTGACGCTCTGCGCCTCGATGCCGTCAATCTCCTTCATCTTCTTGTCCTGCAGCTTCTGCACCTCGCGCTCCACCTTCTTCAGGGCGTCCGGCAGCAGCGTTCCGCGCTTGCGCGCGTCCTTGAGCGCCTTGTCGTGGCGGGTGCGGGCCTGCCGGACGCGCTCGCGCCACGCCTGGGCGGCCTCACGCACCCGCCGCGCCAGCTCCTCCGGGCGCTCCATCTCGACGCGCAGCAGCAGTTCCAGCTCGTTGTCCTCGGCGCGCTGCGGCTGCTGGTTGAAGTCCGGGCTGGCCTGCACGGCCGACATGATGGGCTTGACGTAGGCCTTGTCGTTGACGAGCAGCGAGACGGTGCGGCCGCCGCGCGGGACGACCTGCGCGAGCTCGCGGAGCGGGAACACATCCGCGTCGCCGCCGGTGGCGTGCTCGGGCTTGACGGTGACGGCGAGCGCGCCGAGCTGGTCTGGGTTGAAGCGGCCGCCGTGGAGCACGTTTTGGATCTGCGTGTGGAAGTGTGCGTCGACTTCGGCAAAGGCGGCCGAGACGGGGTCGAGGTCGAGAGGGTCAAAGTCGTCGCCACCCGCGGTGGCGGCTGCGGTGGCGGCCTTGCCTTTGCTGCCGCCGGACGGCGAGGGTGAGGCCGCCGCCGGCGAGGATTTCGAAGGCGCGTCGGGCTTGCGCTTCTTGAGGCGGGCTGGTGATGTGCTGAACGGCTGGGCAAGGCCAGCGCTGGCGGCCAGGGTCACAGGTCGAGAGGTGCGTGTCGCCCTAGCACGTTTGATCTTGTTAGATGGGATCGGGTCTACCGAGTCGTTGGCAGTGTGCTAACGACAACGACCGAGCTTGCAATGGCGGAGGGAGGAGTGGCGGAGGGAGGAGCAAAGCGTACAGATCAGCAGGCCCAGTGGTACGCAAGCTGCGAGCAGCCTGGCGGGTGATGCGAGCCAATGACATGGTCATAGAGCTGTGTGTTGCCGAGGAGCAATGCGTAAGGTTGACGTGACGAAGGAGAGTGGGCGAGGATAAATCAATTGACCAATTGTGCGGCGGAAATCAGGAACGGAGCAGCTGTTGAAGCTATACGAGAACGGACGGAAGACTTGGAATTTTTATGGGCCTGCCGAGACAGCTTGGAGGTTGAGCTTGTAAAGTAATGCATAACAAGCTCTTCCGTTTTGCCATTTTAAAGGTTTGTTATTAACATTATAAATTAAAGCCAGGAAATCTATTTGGCTTGATATGCTACAGATAATTGATATAACTGGCTAGAACATGTCTCTATGATTTAATACACCTTTGTTCTCCAGTTCTGCGATGGACAAATATCAACTTGGCATTGCACGCCTCAGCTTCCTTGTTGCTAAAACCAGTGATTAGCAGCTAGATTTAGCAACCAGAGCAAAGCACTTGGCCGCAGGTGACGAAAAAGGGGAGGCTCGGTGAAACTATCATTGATTGGCAAAAACAATGAGCATCGCAAAAAAAGAATGATCGTGGCAGGGTTCGAACCTGCGACCTTTTCGGATGAAGGTGATGACTGTAAACGAAACGCGATAACCACTACGCTACACGACCTCGGAAGTTCCCGGCTTAATTGTCTTTATATAGGCTGATAGCATTCGACGTTTTCTAAATCTGATTTTTAACACCATTCGCTCCAACTTTTATGGTATCTTCTACTTGGATATGGCAAACATTTATGTGGATTATCTTATGCAACCGGTTTTGTCTTAGCTACAACCTTTGCACTGGGAAACAAACAGAGTTTGTGTCTATGTTAGAAGCGTCACCTTCAAGGTTAAGCGACCGGCCTGGACCAACAAACGGTCTTGTTATTTCCCTATTGTCCCAGCATTCGGGCAATTAATGCGATTCTATCGTTACTCTCTCCCATTTACTACATGTTTTGTACTCTCCATCTACTAGAATCAAGTAACAAGAGGAATGTACAATGTGTCTTCGGAGTAAAAAGGAGCCACTACCCCGGCTACTCCACAGCAGTCTCGCTCCCGCACTCCGCGGGACTCGAGAAGCTCCCCGTAGCGCCCTCTATAGCGGAGAAACGCCCTGTAACTCGATGCACCCCGCGCCGCTGGGGGGAGCAACGGATACCCGCGGCCGGCATTCCCTCCGATCTCGCGGTTCGAGACTACCTAATGCTACAATCCCGCTCCAACAACCTTTAGCTCCTAGCTTTTACATCTGCATACACATGTGCGACAAACAATCTCAGGAACCAAGAGTAGACAGCATCGCGTGTTGTATCTGAGCCGGCAGTTGATTGTAAGTCTTCGTTCCGCTGGCAAGCTCATTTGCGTCATGACGACATCAGCAACACCATAGCTAATAATGCTGCAAATTAGCTACGCGCTTCAGCTCAGGGCGACCTCTTGTACCTCCCACACACTACACTTTTGTGCAATGGCCCTTTTGCAGCGAATTGCAGCTCAATCGACTCTTCGCTTCGTTCCGGCCGTGTCTATGACCCTAGCCCGTAACGCTTCCACCATGGCTCCCAAAGCAAGTACTACTCCAAAGACAATGAGCTTCCCTACCCCGCGATGCAGGTCAGCTAACCTACGCAGCTTAACGATCCTTCGCTTCTGAAGCAAAACGTACACTACATAAATGGCCAATTCGTACCGGCCATCTCTGGCAAGACCTTCAAGGTCACCGGTATGTCTGCTCGCACACAGGTTTTTGCGTTCGCCGGAGGGGGCGGTAGCCTCGGCACACGGCTCCTAACAACTCCCTCCAGATCCCTCGACCGGCGAGCTCGTCGGCACCAGCGCCGAAGCCGACATTGACGACACCAAGGTCGCCATCGAGGCGGCCGCCGAGGCATTCAAGACCTTTCGCACCCAGACCGGCCGCGAGCGCGCCAAGCTGCTGCGCAAGTGGTTCGACCTCATGAACGAGAACGCCGACGACATTGCCAAGCTCATCACCTGGGAGAATGGTAAGCCCATCGCCGACGCCCGCGGCGAGACGGCCTACGCTGCCAACTTTTTCGAGTGGTTCAGCGAGGAGGCGCCCCGGGCCTACGGCGACACCATCCCCAGCTCGGTGGCCGCCAACCGTGTGTGGACCATCAAGGAGCCCGTTGGTGTCTGTGGTCTTATCACCCCGTAAGTGTTAATTTTTGACGGCACAAAATCCAGAAAGGCTTTGTATGCTAAACTATTCCATGCAGCTGGAACTTCCCCGCCGCCATGATCACCAGGAAGATTGGTCCCGCCCTGGCCGCCGGCTGCACGGTGGTCTGCAAGGCCCCCGGCGAGACTCCCTTCACTGCTCTGGCGCTGGCTGAGCTCGCCCATCGTGCTGGCATCCCCAAGGGCGTCGTCAACATCATCGCGTCGCTCGAGAACACGCCCGCCGTCGGCAAGGAACTGACGACGTCGCCCGTCGTCAAGAAGGTGTCCTTCACCGGTTCCACCGGCGTCGGCAAGCTCCTCATGAACCAGTCCTCGAGCACGCTGAAGAAACTCTCGCTCGAGCTCGGCGGCAACGCGCCCTTCATCGTCTTCGACGACGCCGACCTGGACGCCGCCGTCGCCGGCGCCATCGCCTCCAAGTTCCGCTCGTCCGGCCAGACGTGCGTGTGCGCCAACCGCATCTACGTGCAGCGCGGCATCTACGACGCCTTCGCCACCAAGTTCGTCGAAAAGGTCAAGGCCTTCAAGGTCGGCAACGGCTTCGCCGACGGCGTCACCCACGGCCCGCTGATCCACGACCGCGCCGTCGCAAAGGTCCGCGCCCACGTCAACGACGCCGTCACCAAGGGCGCGAAGGTCCTGGTCGGCGGCCAGGCCGTGCCCGACCTCGGCGACAACTTCTTCCAGCCCACCGTCCTCCGCGACATGACGGTCGACATGGCCGTCGCCACCGAGGAGACGTTCGGTCCGCTCGCAGGCCTCTTCCCGTTCGAGACGGAGGCCGACGTCGTCGCCATGGCCAACAAGTCGGACGTCGGCCTCGCCGGCTACTTTTACTCGCGCGACCTCGAGCGCGTCTACCGCGTGGCCGAGAGCCTCGAGGTCGGCATGGTCGGCGTCAACACGGGCATCATCTCGGACGTCGCGTCGCCGTTTGGTGGCGTCAAGGAGAGCGGCTTCGGCCGCGAGGGCTCCAAGTACGGCATCGCCGAGTACCAGGTCACCAAGATGATTACGTTTGGCGGCATGAACAAGCCTCTGCAGAGCTGAGACAGTACTCAACTCCAAAAAATTGAGAAAGAAAGAAATGAAAAGACAATAAATGGGAGGAGATACTTGGTCAGATAATGATAAGCAACTTGCAGTATTCAAAATCCATGTTAAAATGCAAAGCTATCCAAATGCAGCGTGAATTAGTCCGGGTATCCTTATCGATGTTGTCGTTTTGCCATCTTTGATACATGCCCCAAAGTCAATCTCCTAGGCAACGTTCCTCATATTCATTCACTCCTCTGCCCGATGCGTGTTTCAACAATCAACCTCCCAGCCGCGTTTACTTGTACAGGGGGGTCACCTCCTGGCGCAGGGGCAGCTTCCTCTCGAGGGTGTGGAAAGCTTGAGTGCGAGGAGTGAAGGGCGTCGAGTGAAAGGCCTGCATCTCGGTGTCCTTGATGTTGGCGGTGCTGTGGATGGACTCGGCATCGGACTCGTCCTCGAAGTGGTTGCCGCTCCTGGGCCACATGGCGTAGGCCGCGAACCCGAGATTGAGAATGTACAAGGCTCTATCAGCAGCAGGCAGAACGTTAGCGGGAACACACGGGGTTGTTGCGTACGGTGCGTGTGCGCGGGGCTCAGGGTGGCCGGGAGAAGAACGTACTGCATGTAAAATGTTACACCGAGGGAGCCCTGGGCGATCTGGCAGGATTGGTAAGCGCCATACTTCTTGGCTAGGCCGCAGCCCTGGCGAAAGTACCACGCGGCGGGCGAAGGGTAGCGCGAGTCGGAGTAGTCGGGACCGATCTGGCCGTAGATGCTGACGGTGTAGAGGATGAGGAGGGCGGTGTTGACGAAGATTGCGACGATGGGGAACCACAGCTTCATGATGAAGGCGATGAGCTTGGCAAGGAGGAAGAAGAGAGATATGACGGAGATGGCGACATTGAAGTTGGTCAATCTGCGAGCAAAAAGAACGGGGTCAGTAAGAATGATGCCAACTTTGTCGGTCTCAGGGTGGTAGGGTCTTGTTGTGCGTACGTGGAGGACCAGATCAGAGGCACCTTGGGTAGCGGCTTAAAGTTGGCGTAGGCGTAGAGGATCATGTTGGGGTTGGAGTTGAGGCCGTTGTCGAAGCCAATCTGCCACATCTTCGTGCGGTAGAGGTCTGGCTGAGCAATGCCGTAGATGACGAGCACGGCGATGAGGCCGGCGAGCTCGAGGGGCATCAGCCAGATGGTGGCCTTGCGCGAAACCTTGGGCCACTTGCGGTGGACGAGGTGGTAGGACCGCGCGCTGCGGGAGAAGATGCCCATGATTGCGGTTGGTTGGGTAGCGGTTTAGCCTTGCGCGACTATGGTCGGGTATATCTCGAGATCGGGTAGGGCAGTGCCGATTTTATTTTGGTGCTTTGAGCGATGTTGAGCTTTGTCCACTACGTGTTGTGTGAGAAGGTGCTGGTGATGGCGCAAGAGTTGCGAGTCAAAAGTTGGTCGACTCGGTGAAGTTGCGGCAAGTCCAACACGAAGGCAGTGAGGAAACCAGGCCAGCTGCTTTCACACGACCGTTTTTCTTGTGCCGTTCGTCGCCAAGAGCTTTGCGAAAGGGTGATGTGAGAGGATGAGAGGGTGAAGAGGGGGTGGTGCGCCGTTGCTGTGTTTAAACCAGCAAACGACTACTTCTAGCCGCCGATGTCGATGAGGCTGGCCAGCATAGTGAGGGGTTCCGCTGCAGCGACGCAGGAGGATGGATGGGCACATCACCAGCCAGCCAGTGATGAGGCTGCTGTAAGCGCCCAGATCGGTATGGGGGTGGACGATTGGACGGGTGCTGTGACGGCCCAGGCCAATGAGCGGCGAGGAGCAGTCAAGAAGCTGTGCGCTAGCGCATTGTCTGATTAGGTAGGTGTCTCGGCAGGCGGGTGGTGGGAGCCCGATGTGATAGTGATGGGGAAGTGGTGCTAGCATGGTAATTCGAGGGGCAAAAAAGGTGTGATGAAGTTATCTACGAAGGATTACCATGGCGCGTACGGCCTGGATGCATTGTTTGGTTCCGTTTGCAGTAGGCGATGATGGGCAAATAGTTGACAGCTGGCGGCCCGCGTTGATAGACTGCCATAGCCGGTCCGTGGATCTTGCAGGGCACGAACTTCCTGGTGACACAGTTGATGTCCAAATTGATTGAGTTCGACAATAAATCACCGGGATCAACTTATACCGTGCTACGCGGAGGCAATGTGTCGATGAAGTGTGTCCACGGGTGAATTCTGTGCGTTACGGTGTGACTCGCCGGTGCAAAATGTGCTGTTTTCAAAGTGTCTGGTGAATTTTAAGCAACGTCTATTCCCACGCGGCATGCTATACAGTAGGTAGCCATTTGTCAAAAGCCATTAGAGGGAAGAGGTCAACTGCATATCCGAGATATAAGACACAAATCATTTCGAAACACGCCATTTTAATAAGGCGCTGCCATTTATCCCACGGCCGGCGCGGACAACGTTGGTTACCCTGTAGGCGCATCGGTCGGATTGGGATTTAGAGTAGCGGAGGCCGCCGCACAACAACTTCAACACGCACTAGCTTGCCGCTATTTTGAGCCGGGCCAGCGCCATGAACCAGCGAAACGTGCCGAACCACCAGCCGGCTAGAACGTTTCGGCAGTCTTCTGTGCCAATAGTCGAACGTGAACTAGTTGATAGTATGAAGAGTTATGCTCCGTCCTTCGCGGGTCATTATGCGCATCGAATAAACCATGAGGGGCTCCGCTAAATAGTTAGTTCGGCGGAGATTGGGAACAATGAGATTCCCGACGAAGCAAATAGAAAGCAAGCAGGCACGATCGCCAGAAGCCGCCAGCGATCACTCTAGCCGACACGTCGCAATGTCTCGCGCCCTGGCAGTTGCTTGCTGGCCGTGGTTGTGGTCTGGACTGGTCCACGGTGGGGAGATGCAGCCCTTCCACCTCGGCCAGGGTGGCGCGCGACGGCTGAAGACAGGTCCTTCCTACGCCCCTGCGTGCACATGGCGTGGTTGAGAAAACTCTGTGTCGGTCGGTTAACTCGAGACGGTGGGTTCGCGTCTGACGATGATTGCTGTTGGCGTGATGATGATGGGGCGGTGTTGATCGCAACGGGGGACGGGCTCAAGGAGACCGCGAGCAGTTGCATCTCGATACCGAAAAGTTGAGTACGTAACTAGTTAGCGATTATGTTAGCTTGGCAGGGCTTTGAAACTTGTCAGGTTGAGAACTTCGAAGGCACCCGCGGCGCTGTCCGCGGACTGTTGCGCCCTTTATCCACTGGCTGCAAGCCGGTGCTGGGGCAAAACGCCCGCAAACGATGCTGAATCCCGGCCTCGTCACATCTCGCTTGCATGTCCAGACAAGGAACACAAATGGTAGCAGTAGTTCATGGCAGATGCGAAAAGCCTTGAGCAGTCGCGTGGGTGTTGTTGGGGATAGTTGTGTTTTCCGAAAAGGCCAACATGGAGAGGGAGAGGCATTGGTTGAGTATGTATGTACAAAGGTAGTATAAATGTTGTCCATTTGCACCAGGAGGGAGGGGGCTACAACTGCTCAGATACGCGAGACAGAAGTTATGCTTCATCAACCTGGCCAAGCCACCACAGAAGCATCTCGAAAATTTCAACCCAAAAAAAGTAAGAACGAGTCGCATAATCTGCGCCAGCATCCATTCCGTATTCCCGTCGACTGTTGACAGCCACCCCCAGCATCAGGCTCACAAGTGAGACAAGGCGCTGACGAAGCCAAGCCCTCGCTCACGCCAAGTCTGAGCTGCATGTGGTGATAGAATGCATTGAAAAACGGGAAAGAAAGGATTAATCGGTCAACATAATGGGGAGAAAATATACAAGCGGCATCAACATCAAAGGGAAGCCTGATCAAGACTCCTCAACTCAAGTGTCCTGGTCCTGCTTTTTTAGCTGCTCACTTTTGTCTACAGTACCCTCATGTCCTTTTCTCTGTACCAAGTATGGCCTGCTGGGTACTATCGGCATATTACCGAAACGGCGATCAGTACTGATCTGTTTCGCTCAGCAACTCGTTAGGATGGCTGGATGCCTGCTTGGCCATCCATGTCGGATGCCTACGACCTAGGTACATGGGCTGGCACAGTACTGACACCGCCACCACAAACAGCTGCATCCTGTATTCTCTGGCACAACTCGGTGCTGACTGCACGATACACTCTCAACTTACCAGTAGCTGCCGTGAGCAATGATCCCGCGATTTCCAAACGCGGCGACGAGTCCGCCACAGGTCTCGAACCTCCCTCACCCACCAGTCGGCTGTCTCGGCCGTAGGCACGTCAAGCACTAGGTAGCCATCGCAACAGACTCACTTGCTGAGATATATACGCATACAACACTCCGTCTAAAACCATCAGCCGTATGGAGTATACAGAAACAAGCGGATGCATGATCCTGTCCTCTAACCACACTCACTCTGAACGTCTCGTAGTAATCCACCCGCTGACCTGTCTCCACGCCCATCCATCGCGATCTTCCGCTGCCGTCGCCTTCTGCCTAGACTACTGTAGGTACCTATGTACTGTACATACTGTACAACCTTGAGAGAGAGAGGTCCAGGCCCAGGCCCAGGCCCAGACCCAGAACCCCCCCAAGCCACGCACCACAGCGAAACAATATTGCACGCTCTGTTATTATTAGCCAAGCTAATCTGTACTTTTTTCTTTCTTTTACACTTTGGCCAATCTTTTTTTGGTTGGTCTTTTGGAATCAGAACTAGCTAGAACGTTGACTTGCACGAGGCTCTAGCAACACCCAGTCCCAACTCCCCCCACTGCAATGCGGACCTCTCGCCTGCTACCCTTGTCAACCTTCAATTGTAATCTTTCCTCTCTCTCCAGACGCAAGCAAATATTGCCAAAAATTTCAAAACCCCTTGATGCGGAAAGCTCAGTACCTGCAAACCCCTACCCAAGACGACGATTCGACCTCACGCTCTTCCGCCGTCGACTGTGACACGATCCCGTCTCTGCAAGCAACACCCAACCGAGCCGATACACCAGTAGTGATAGCCTCACTCAGCTCTGCCCCTCGCACTGCTCCCTCTGAATGGTGCGCCGCTTCCACCAAGACCGATACTGCCAGCGCAAGATCCCCGAGTCGCCCGTCCGGCCTGTGTCCCCGGCGACATCCCTCACTCTTTGTTGGATCATGCATCCCGCCAGCTGATATACTTTCCGGTCAACCGGCGCCATCTCTCCCGCCTGTCCACTCAAACGCCGTCTCGCCTAGTTTGATTGCTCGCGCCTCAAACCGGCAACAACACGACCTCACCCAGTTTGACGGTACCCAACCACTGCGCTTTCTCGGCAAGCGACCGTTCCGGCTGGCCCAGCTCAGCTCCGCCATGGCATCCGATCCGCCCAAGAAGCACCGCACAGGCTCATCGCCTCCCAAACGGTTCGAGCTACCCTCCGTTGCCACGGCGCCTCTTACAAGAACTTCGGCACGACAATTCCGCGAGCCCGTCTGTTCTCCTCTCTTCTTCTCTAACTCGCCTATACGACATAAGAGCAGGCCATCGGCCGACTCGACGTCTGATCTCGCCGCCAGTATGCTCGCCCCTCTCGGCCAAGATTCACGCGAGACCGTAACGACTCTCAAGCTTCCCAGGACCAGCGTCAGCGCCGTTAGTCCCACAGCGTCTGGAAGCACCCCAGGCAGCCTGGCCTCTTCCATAGACGTCTCGGGATCCTCTACAAGCCCCGACAGCGTCGTCATGCCTGGCAACTTGCAAATCCTCCGCTCCATTGGTATACTGGAGCTTCTAGAAAACGATATACGACCTACCTTTATGATTAATCTTCAAAACCCGTCCAACACGACCCAACCTCACCTTCCTATACAATATTCCAACCCTTCCCTTCGCGCTTGTTACGAGTTACATCCTTTAGTAAACGCCGGCTTCGAGAGCAACCCGACAACTCCAGAATTCAACCACTTCAGGGAATGGGTTCTCTGCTCGACGCCAACAGCAGAACAGCCGGAGCTCGGCTTCCCTACATGTGAGTACGGTCACATCACTTGGACCAAGTCGACAGTCCGACAACGATTCCGCTTCGTATCTGGGAGCATCAACCTGAGAGAGTCTTCCGACATTTCCGATCATGGGGCCCCCAGCGCGGAAGCTCCCGAATGCCCCGATGAGGATACCATCCCCTCAAAGCTGGAGGCCCAAGCAGATTCCGAGGCGGATGCTCTGGAACCACTGGATTACTTTGGCGACGCTGCCGTTGAGCCATCTGCTGACAGCAGAGCTAATAACTTTGAGAGAGCATTGATCCATCAATCACAAAACCTACAACCCGGGCACCCCGATGAATTCACCAACCAAGTATTACAGTCCAAGGAGTCGAGGCCCTTTTTCGACTGGACAAGAATACCCATGACCGATTCTCTCCCCGAGCACATCAAACTGGTAAAGACGACAGACTGGGCGTCTACACCGCTAGGTCCCATTGAGGAATGGCCTCACGAGTTGAGGACGCTTTCGAATCTCGTTATGGGTAGTCCACACGCTGCCACGTTATATTGGGGGCCTGAATATATCAGCCTATACAACGCCGCGTACGTCGAACTCGTTGGCAAAAAACACCCACGTATCATGGGAATGAGGCATTTTGACGCTTGGGAGGAAATTTACGATGAGTTCGAGCCCGTTTTCCGGAGTGCTTGGGAATCTGGTCAGGCAACTATGAAACACGACAGCCGCCTCTTCCTGCGGCGGGATGGCTATCTCGAAGAGACGTTCTTTTCATGGTCTCTGGTACCGGTAGTTGGAGGAGATGGTCAAGTTGTAGGCTTATACAGCCCTGCATTCGAAAACACTCGTCGGAAAATCAACGAAAGACGCATGCTTACGTTGCGAGAGATTGGTGAACGGACCGCTACGGCGACTACGGTGAGCGGATTTTGGCCCTTGGTCCAACAAGGACTCGAATACAACGAGTTTGACGTCCCGTTCAATCTTATTTATTCCACATCCAAGGAGGACGCAGAGAGCGAAATATCATCTGTGCGTTCTGGGAGCCTGTCACACCCAACCCATCTCACGCTTGAAGCGTCATCCGGCGCGCCAGAGGGACACCCGGCTGCCCCAAAGATAGTCGATTTACGCACATATGACGGCGGCTTCGCGCCGTATATCAGAAAATCCATCAACATGGGCGGTATTCCTATCGTATTATCCCAGAGAAATGGCACTCTCCCTGAGGAACTCATCGAAGGTCTCCAGTGGCGTGGATTCGGTGACCCTTGCAGGACAATCGTCGTTCATCCCATCGTCTCTACTAGCGCCGGCGAATCTGTGACTGACTTTTTGATCATCGGCGTTAACCCAAGGCGACCTTATGATGACGACTACCAGCTCTTTATTCATTTATTGGCAAGACAACTGGCAACTTCTATGGCGTCAGTCGTACTCTTTGAAGAGGAAATCAAGCGTGGGCAAATGGCGGCGAAGCTTGCTGCCGAGGATCGCCGAGAGCTCTCGATGCAACTCCTTCTTCGAACGCAAGAAGCAAACGAAAGCGAGCATAGATTCACGCGGATGGCGGCGTACGCGCCAGTCGGCATGTTTATTGCAGACGCTGCAGGCAAAATCAACTACTGCAACGATATGTGGTGGCACATCTCACGTTGCGCCCGTGAAGATATGCTAGAGGACGTTTGGATGGATCTTGTCCACCCAGAGGACAAAGACGCCCTGGGGCGTGCCTGGACAACATTGGTTGAGGAGAAAGTCATCGTCTCTCAGGAATTTCGGTTCAAGACATCTGAACAAGAAGGGGATCATACAAAAGATAATTGGGTTCTGATGAGCGCTTTCCCGGAGCAAAATGCGGATGGCCATCTCAAGTCCATCTTTGGCTGCATAACCGATATTTCCTCACAGAAGTGGGCAGAAAGAGTCCAAATTGAACGGAGAGAGGAAGCTGTCGAACTCAAGCGGCAGCAGGAGAATTTCATCGACATTACCAGCCATGAAATGCGCAATCCCCTCTCTGCGATTCTGCAGTGCGCAGATCAAATCGCAAACAACATCACTGCATTCAACACGCGCAATATCGAGCACGTCGAGGCACTTCTCGAAAGCTGCCTTGATGCGGCTAACACGATTAATCTGTGCGCAAGCCACCAAAAGCGAATCGTTGATGACATTTTGACGCTGTCCAAGCTGGACTCGAACTTACTTACCGTTACTCCAGTAGCGGAACAGCCAGTGAGGGTCGTACGCCGGACACTCAAAATGTTTGAAGCTGAGCTTGCAGCCCACGATATTGATTTTGAATTTACGGTCGACGATAGCTTCGAAAAGCACGGGGTCAAGTGGACGAAGCTCGACCCATCACGCCTCCGCCAGGTCCTGATCAATCTGATGACCAATGCGATCAAATTTACCCAAGGGCGCCAAAATCGACATATCAAGGTTGTCCTGAGTGCCTCGCGCGATATTTCCGAGGTCGCCAGCGAGAGCACCTACTTTCCTCGAAATGCCAATCAGATTGGCAGCGCAATGGACATTGACAGCGAGGACGACTGGGGCACTGGTGATAAGATTAACATTCACTGCACCGTCGAGGACACCGGGCCTGGTCTCGCGGAAGAGGAGCTCCGTATTCTGTTTCAGCGGTTCAAGCAGGCAACGCCCAGGACCCATGTGCAGTACGGTGGCTCCGGCCTGGGCCTCTTCATTTCGCGCATTCTGACCGAGATGCAGGGCGGCCAAATCGGTGTGACGTCCACGGCCGGCCAGGGAAGCAAGTTTAGCTTCTACATCCAAAGCCGGCAGTGCGCCGACGCATCCGAGCCGTTTGAGTCTCTCTCGTGCTTTTCCCTTTCGCGACAGTGCCGCTTGGTGGCTGGCCCTGAAGCCGGCGGCCAAGCGGAATGTGCCACCCACGGTCAGCTGGCCGGCGGCGGCGCCCGAAAGCCACCCTCCTCTACCCCGGCCGGCGGCGGCGGCAGCAGCAGCAGCAGTGCGCAGCACGATGTGCTCATCGTCGAAGACAACATCGTCAATCAAAAGGTGCTGCAGCGGCAGCTCGTCAACCGCGGACACACCACCTTCGTGGCCAACCACGGGCAGGAGGCGCTCGAGACGCTGCGGCGGTCGCGCTTCTGGCGGGGCCGCGAGCGCGACGGCGTCGCCATCTCCGTCGTGCTCCTCGACCTCGAGATGCCCGTCATGGACGGCGTGACGTGCGCCCGCCGCGTGCGCGCGCTTGAGCGTGCAGGCACCATCACCCGCCACGTTCCCATCATCGCCGTCACCGCGTACGCCCGCCCGGAGCAGATTGCCGACGCCAAGGCCGCGGGAATCGACGACGTCATCTCCAAGCCGTTTCGCATCCCGGAGCTGCTGCCGCGCATCGACGAGCTCGTCAGCCAGCACGGCGGCGGTGACAAAAGTGGCACGCTGCCCTCCACGTAGGCGTGATGGGGAGGGGGTCTTCTTCCCCTAATGTTAAGAGGCCACCATCCCCCTTCCCGGAAACATGTATTGGGGGGTTTTTTTTTTCTTTTCTGTCTTATTCATGCTGAGCATCTTGTCATGATCGAGCGTCGGCCTTTTTTTCTGCGTTCTCCTTTCTTACACTGTTCGGCATATACAAGCGCAATTATAGTAGTCATGTTTGGGTCTATTTTTCTTTTGGAGATGTTTCTCCTTTTTTTTTTCTCTTGATTTTTATTTCAGTGAGGAACAGCAGACACCTACACGCACGATCAACAACTTCTTTGTTCTCTTCTCCTCTCCTCTCGTGGAGGGCCATCTGTTCCACATATCACATACAGGGACGGACGCACGGATGGGATGGCTCGCTGACCAAAAAAACATACGTGGATGACGCTGATACACGACGAAAGGGTTGTTGCTTGGTTCATTGTTGCTTTACATATATCTACAGATACCCCCTCCCCCACCTCCTTGCCCTGCTTTGAAGCTAGAATATACATACACGAGCTATGCCACCCGCGTCATTATTCATGCTGACCGATTCGTGCCTGACTTTTCGAGTCATACCCATGGTAATGTCATGCTAATTATTGGCCAAGCTGTATCATGTGTTATACGATACACCTAATGCCCTATTTGTTATTTCTTGAATTTGCTTTTAATAACACCAAGTATTCAAGATGCAGCAAGGTTCCACCAGGAACGGTGAGCAACAGAGCGCCTCTTCCTCAAGCTGCAGAGTTTTAACTTGAGTTCTGCAGGCAGATTTGGGAAAGCAGCGATACATATCACTCATCAAAGATCGTTATAAAAACAGGCACAGCAGTTGAATTAGGTATTACTATAATCTCCTCCGGGTATCGAACAAAACAGACCAAATGCACGCAACTAAGCTGTGTTTTTTTTTCCTCATTGGACTTGCCAATGATTTTCTTGAAAAACAAAAATAGGAGACTTCCGTAGTGCCTGGTGCAAAACAGTATGGAAAAAGGTATCAATGAAAGCAGTCTTGACAGGGTATCTTGGTATCTTGTGAAGAAATGCAGAACCATCCTTCCATTCCAACCCTCTCATGCGTTTGGGTATATTTTTTTTCTGAAATTAAATGTTTTGGGGTTTGTTGGCGTGACAATCATCGAAAAGCTGGTACGTCTTGCAGGCGTCAAGCTAACCACGTCGGTCTGCCACCTAAGCAGAAGCAGTGACAGCGGGGGCGGTAGAAGCCTCCTCAGTCTTCTTCTCACCCTCACCTTCGACGGCCTTGGTCACTTGCTCCTTGACATCGGCAGCGGTTTCCTCAGCCTTGCCCTGGGCATCAGTAGCGGTCTCAGCGGCAGTCTCCTGAGCTTTAGCAGCCTCCTCCTTGGCCTCCTCGGCCTTGGCGGCGCCCTTGCCCTTGATAGTAGCACGAAGCTTGGAGAAAGCGCCAGTCTTGGGCTCACCGGTGGTGGGGGAGGCATCACGCTTGCCAAAGAAGGGGAGAGAAGACTTGCGTCTCTCCTTGACGTCGGTCTTAGGCTCAGGGGCAGCGGCTTCGACAGGGTCAGCAGCGATGACCTCCTCGGCGAGAGGAGTGGTGGTGTCAACGGGAGGGATGACAGGAGCAGTCTCAGCAGCGCCCTCGGGTTCCTCAGGAGAAGCCTCGGTGGCCTCAGCGGCCTTGGCGTCGGCCGCCTTCTTCTCCTTCTTGGAGAAGACACCGCCAAAGAAGCTGTTGCGCTTGTTGGCGGTGGGCTTCACGACATCAGCAGCAGGCTCCTCGACAGCCTCAGCGGGGGCGGCAGCATCTGGAGCCGCGACATCCTCGGCAGCGGCCTCAGTTGGGACAGCAGCCTCCTCGGCAACCTCAGCAGGAGTCTCCTCCGCCTTGGCTTCGTCCTTGGGAAGAAGGTCCTTCTTGCCAAAGCCGAAGAAAGAAGCACGTTTGCGACTGGCAGAACGACGCTTGGACTCCTCAGCCTTGGGCTCCTCCTTGGCGGCGTCCGCATCCTCCTTGGGGGCATCTTCGGTCTTGGCGGCGTCAGCGGACTCGTCAGCGGCAGCAGGCTCGGCAGCCTTGGCCTCCTCCTTAGGAGCGGGCTTCAGAGTCTCGAGCGTGTTCTTGTAGACCTCGGACTCGGTGACGGAAGTAGCAATCTCCTTGGCCTCAGCGATCTTGGCCTTGATCTGGGCAACCCAGTTGTCACGCTCAGCGGGATTAGCGGCCTTGAAGGTGTGCTTGTTGCCTTTGGTGATGAAGTGGAACTTGTTGCCGTCGACTTCAGGCTCGGAAGCGTGGGACTGTTGTAGGTTGTTAGCATCCATCTTCGTGGTCGTGATGCTTGCGGGTGAAGAGGCATGACTGACCAAGTTGATGACGTTGTGGGGAGCCTTCTTGTCACCGGAGAAGAGGAGACCCTTGCCGGTGTGGGAAGCCCACGAGATGTTGTCGAGAGCACCCTCGGCCGACTTCTGGGCCTTTTTGTAAGCCTCGAGGGCCTTGGCCTCGAAAGCCTCAGAGCCGAAGAAGAAAAACTCCTTGCTACCGAGCAGGTTCCTTTCGAGGTGTCAGAAAGCGTTCTGGTGTGATTGTACTGTGTGAACTGTTGTGCTTACTTGGGGAAGCTCAGGCCCTGGGCCTTGTATCCAAGCTGGCCCTCCTCGACGGGCTTCACCTCCTCCTTGGTCTCCTCGGCAGCCACGGGCTCCTCGTTCTTAATCTCGTCGGCAACGGGAGCAGCCTCGGTGGCAGCAGGAACATCGAGAGCCGGAGCAGTCTCGGTGACGGGGGCGGCGGCCTGCTCGACAGCGTCGGCAGGGACCTCAACGGGCTTCTGGATATCGGCCATTTTTCTGGATTAAAAGTAGAGTATTGGGTATCTTAAGTGGGTATCACAACAACAAAGAAAGACGGATGGTATAAAAGAAAAAGCTGGGAACCAGAAAAAGGCGTCCACGAAGATGATGAGAACAGAGGATGGTGTGTGAGAGGAAGAAGGAGGGAGCACGAGGCAGAAGGGGATGAAGGGGGGTACTTATTTGGATCGTAAAGGGCGGACAGGCCAGGCAGGTCAGGGCAACAATGCAGGCAAATTGAAGGGGAGGGCAGAGGAGAGGGAGGGAGGTTACAGGTGGCAGGCTAAAATGGAAATGGCTTGAAAAAAAAAAGTAGGGGCAGGCAGGGAGGGAGGGATGGAAAGCCAGAAGGCAAGAAAGCAAACAGACTGGAAGCAGCAAGGAAATGAGTGGTGGTGGTGGTGGTGGTTGTAGGTAGGCCTGGCTGGGTGGGTGTTGTCATCTCCCAGCTGCCAGCACTATGTAGGTACCTTTCGAGATAAGCTACTTAAGCTATGCAGCATCCTGCACCAAAACACCAGGCCGTGAAGCTATCTGGGTACCTGCCGTAGGTTGGCTACCCTGCCGTGCCTAGGGAGGGGAGGTACACCTACCCTAGTTTTTAGTGCTGTTAAACTGTTACCGTCCTGAGCGCCATCTGGGGTCCAGTGTCAACCTCCCTACCGTCCCCGTTTTTATTAGTGTCAGGGTGCCTCACTCAGGTAGCATTTTGGTTAGGTACTTCTGGTTCGCCGGGCACCTTCCCGGGCTGCAAGGTAAGGTACATATCAGCCGCAATCACCGCCAAAATTGTGTGCGACGCTGGAAAGTATCTACCAGGAACCAACTGGGGCAATGTTATTAGGGTTCATTTTTTACCAACAAGGGGTTGCACCAGAGACCGGTCTGAGAACGGTGACGGGAATGGCACCCAGGCTATTTGTCTACTCACCCACCGACCAGTGGTAATTCGTACGGGGACAAGTATCCGTACGCTGTGTGGACAGTGGTTGTGTGAAAAGAGTGAAATGGTGTCATATTATTGCTGGCTGGCATTATTGTTCGTATTATCAACAAAAAGATACCTGTTAGCATAGTATGTACGTTAGTCATTCATACCTGGATTCACCGCCATGTGGCCACTCACAGCCACATACATACGTACTGTACCTCCTATTTGATGCACCACGCAGATGCCGTGATGGGGATGCGCCGCCGAGATATTGCATTTGTTTTTCGGAAACACATACGGTCCACGGATAGTACTATTTGCACATCTTTACGGATACTGATACATAGTCAAGTTGGGGTTTCGTATCCTTAACGCTCAACACATTATTCCCGGCCAGCTCTGCCCATCCATCTCTTATCTGCGCAAACTTTGGGTACCTGCATCTGTGTGGTTGCCCATTGCCGGCCCATCAGTCCATCTGCCTGCCAACTGGCAGCAAACGGAGGACCGCCGTTGTTCGTTTGCAATTTGCACTTCAAGGTGAAAGAGGCCGTTTTACAACGCCACTCCCGACTTTGTACCTGGCTGTATTTCTTCCTTCAACATCACCACTCAGCACCACTGCACCACCGAATTCCCACCAGTCTCGGCAGTAACCCGCGATGCAAAGCATGTCTTGAAAGAAAAAAAAAAAGACGAAAAAAAAAGGAAAAAAGAAAAAAGAAACCCGATCCACCACTCTGCTGAGACCCTGGCCGCCTCTGTTGGCAGGGCTCCTTTGAATGGCCTCCGCCCACTGGCCCGTGCTGGTTTAAGCGAGTGGGCCTTATTTTACAGAACATTACTGACCCGCTCTAGCAAAGCCAGATTGCCCGTGCTCGTTCGCAGCCAGATTCGTTGCCGCAACTCGGCCAATGAACCATGATGGACCTCTCACGCTGCTAATAATCACTGATTAGCCAGCCTCTATCACAGATTCACCCTCGCTCGTTCGCCGTACCGGTACATAGCTGACCACAATGTAACTCGGCTCTGCCACTCTCGTACCTCGCGTGGATTTGCCTAACGCCTTCCCCATAACCAGACAATACCTTGCGATGACTCGAACTCGCCCTTTCGATCCGATGAACCTAGAATCAGCAAGCCACAGTCAAGCTACTGCGCTGACATCGCGCCGGTATTGCGACATGGCCATTGCCCCCCTAGTCCCTCATCGTCAGCGGGGCAGAAATACGATGGCTTAGCCAGACAACCAGGCAAAAATGCGAAATTGTCGACGGCCATCTGAAGACGGCTGAGGCTTCAATTCGCCAATGCCTTGCGTAGGGAGTACAATTTAGACAATAGTTTCTGGAGTTGAGACGGCCACATGTATTCTCATGCTCATTCGTTTGGAGTAATCATCTCCCCGATCGATTATCACAATCCTCTAGCAAAATCCACCTCCTTTTAGAAGAGAAAGAAGCCCGACCCTCTCTGGAGACCTCGAACAACGAAAAGAGCAGATCTTTCGCCCACAGAGGAGCTCACATTGCTGTGTATTAGTTGCTGATCTCACAAATCCCCAGCAAATACCCGACCCGTTCACAACAACGGACCGGGCTACCCTTCAATACCATGGGCCACCGGAGCAACCAATACCTTGCTACCTTCACAGTCTCCTCTCCATTATTGGACGCCTACGCGCCACGTTGCCACGGTTCAGTCGTCTCTCGGCCGCGTGGAAAGTGAATGGGCAATACTCATTGTGATAGTCGGTCAGCAGCAGGCTGCACAGCGCTGCCCCTTTTCTGAAACAGGCACCTGGCATCCTGCCCTCGTCCTCTCGCTGTCTTGCAGATTGAGCCAAAAGGAGGTTTGGACCTCATTTCGTCGGAGCCATAATTTCCGGCAGCTCCATTTCACAGTTTGATAGGCTCTGGCGCAGGCGCCAAACTACATGGCGGCCCCATTTGCCCACTCCAATTTGGTACCGCAAACAGCCAATACTCAGATTTGGTCCGATTTACGGCAGGAATCTTGCAATGCCCTCGTCCATCTTCAAGGGGGTGTACGCTGTGCCATGCTGCAAAGGCACCTGATTGGTGTGTGCCTGGCGCTGTCATGCATCATGTTAGGATTATACCCCTGCTGACGAATCACCATGAGTGAAGCTGTCTAGGCTTGCTTTCGCATCCCGAATGACTTTTGTCCTGCTCCCGAAACTAATGCTGGTAGCTTGGCAACTGGTAGGTTGGAAAGTCCATTCACTTTCTTTTTTCCCTTTTCTTGCAGGTATCTATTTCACAGGCGCAAGACATCAATCAGACTCTCTAATACTATCGATTTAATTCTGGCTCGTTCCACAATTGTGACCTCGACCGCTTCTCGGTCGGTTGGTGGGATACCCGTACAGCAAGGGTCTCCTGGCCACTGCCTCAAGACGATGGGTTATGGGACATGGCAGAATGCGCAACCGGAAAAAAACGAAGAGAGGGCTCACCATATCAAACCAAACCCGTCAGTTACGGCTCGAACTTCAAAATTTGGCAACAGTTGTACGACTACAGCACGCAGTGCGTCAGCCTTCTGGTATCGAACCGTTTCGCAGAGCAAATTGAGCCCGCAGTGATCTTTGAACAAGTGGGCCAGCTGGCGCTCTGCTACCCACATGAGGAGAGAAAAAGAGGACACCTTGGGGGGTGCACCGAGACGTCACAAGGCCAGATGACTTCTCTCGGCCGCCGCTATTGCCTGGAGTTACTATTAATACGGAGCACTGTTGACTGGCTGCGAGTCCTTTTTAGGGCGTGAAATTTTTTAAAACGCCCGTGACTTGTGCAGCGCGAGCGGCTGGCCGATCTGATGCAAGGCCAATCTGCTCCTCCATGGTATGTACCTTTCACCAGAGACCGGTCGAGTTTTGATCATCAGGATTCATGGCAAACGCTGTAGCATCCCCCTTGTATGTACAGGTACGCTGCTTGGCTTTTTGGTCTACTGGCGGGCCAGTGGTGGCAAGCCTGCAGAAAGCTGTATCAATCAAGGCTCATCGAGCACATGGCGTGCAGCTGTGTGATGGTGTGCTACTGTGAATGGTGTGCATCGCGAGGGGCAGCACAGCCAATAGCAATCACCTCCGCACACCCTGAAGCATGCCAATGCAGACGCCACGAGTACGCCCTTGGGCTACAACACAGTGCACACTCCAAGCTTCCTCTAGCGACCTGCGACTTGAACACCAAGCTAATCGGAACCGAACGCGAGAAGCAATGACGGATGGGTTGGTGCTCATGCTACTGCGTTGTTACCTAACTACGGAGTACCAGGAGCTTATCTATACACCACCATCTTCCCATGTGGCGGGGCCGACAATCGAGCAGAATGAGGCGATGCAATGCAGGGCTGATGCGATGACATGGAGAAAACCTCAAGTACGACAGAAGCACGATGGCTTGTCATGACGGCATAGCTCCTCATCGCGATGCCGCAGCTATATTGCTCAACTTCTCTTGACCCGATTTTAAGTCCAGTTTTGCCACGCTTGGCTTTTGACAATTGGTTGGCAGGCAGACCACTATCAACATGACAGCAGGCCGGCGTGCTGTTGTGCACGGTGTCGAGTGCATGACAAGCGCCACCGAACATGCCAAGCTAGTCGCCATCGGTCACGGTACCAGGCATGGATGAAGCAGTGGTGGCCGCACCGTCCATGGACAGCTCTAATTTGCTCGCTATCGACGTCTGCGGGTGGAGGCGGTATGTATGCCGTCTGACGGAAGGCGCGCAAGTGCGTACAGCACCGTCCAAAGTGGCACAGGCAAACCTGAGATGAGAGATGACAAGACAGGACGCCTCTTCCTCGGCACGGCTGCATTGGTTGATGCTCCGGCTATTTCTGTTCAACATGAGCTAGGCTGGGTGATGCAGTCTGTTTCACGACACTGCTCTGCACCAAAGCACCGACACTGGCATAACACGGCAAGATTTCATATCGCTGTGGTCGACTCGATGGACCGTTGAGAAGCCACCGGGATGCGGTCCCGGTCCTGGTAACGTCTACACCAATCACCACCGCCTGCTTGAGCGCAGTGGAGAAGGACTCGGCGCCGATCGCTTGTTGGCCTGCAGGCGACAAACAGCCCGATGCGATGACGGGCAACCCCTCTTTTCTTTTTCATGGCCAGCTTGGGATCCATTCGAAACCTCACTCATGGCTGCATCGTGATGGTTTTTTGGCCGTGGGGGTTTGATTGATGTGTAAGGACTTTTTCTGAAGGCGTCGAACTTGCAAAATCCGTGCCGTATCGTTCGTTCACCGAAACCTTTTTGTTTCTGGCGCAGGAGTGGCGGCAGTCGTTTCTAGCGTATTCTGCTTGGCTGTGATCATTCACATAGTCGCGGCGTGGAATGATGGTGTATACTCTACAGAGATGATAATATTAATCCACTGATAATGTTTTGCATGGCAATCAATACACGTATGGAGTTCATTTTTGCAGCCCTCTTGATGCGTTGAAGGGATAGGGAGGATGGGGAGGAGGGACAGGATAGAAAAAAGAAGAAGAAGAAAGAATATGAAGAAAATGAAGAAAGGAAAGAAAATAGAGAAAATAGAGAAAACAAGAAAAACAAGAAAAATATAGCCTCTTGTGAGTCATTCCTTCTATCCCAGCAGTCTAGAAAATTTGGCTAAACTATTGGCAGCAAACGGGCTCGAGCCAATACAGCTCGCCGAATTCCAAGAATTAGAGTATTAAATAAGAAACTAGCGAAATTAAAGAATAATCCAAATCTCAAAACTTGCAAACTTTATAAACATTTTCAATTTTAAAAAGTTCACGGTCATAAATGCTTGCTCAATCGCGCGGTGCGTGGCTTCGTGCACGTCAACTCACTCACTCACTCACACCCCGTAGCTGCCACCTGTTCCTGTTCCTGTCCCTCTTCTTTCAGAGCTTCTGCGCATCTTTCGTGCATCACCAAGACACAGTGAGTAGACCTATCCTCTGTACTTCTTTTATTCCATATATCCCATCTGGCTCATCTGACCCATTCAACCCAGCCATACCATCTAACAATCCATCCATTCTCGTCGTGGTTTTTATCCTCGTCCCTTCCATGTATTCATCATGGCACGCCGTCGGAAAACACCGAAGGAGGCGGCGCCTGCCATTTCACCAACTGCCATTACACGCAGCGAGAGCCCTCTATACAACATGGCCTTGTCGCGACAGCGGCTGGAGAGAGAGGGCTTTCGTCCTCTGGCAACTCACCAGAGCGTACAGGAGACAATCGAGTCCTGGGAGGCCACTATTAAAAGTCAAATACGCGCCGCCGACGATGACCACGACCGGCCTCGGCAGATGACGAGGGCATTTCTCATCCTCCGCGAGGAGCCGGAGCTGCGACCAGAGAAGCAGCACCAGCACCAGCACCAGCACCAGCACCAGCCCGACGCGGTCGACTTCGAGACCATCATCACCTCGCAGGGCATCGGCCCTCTCATCCTCACGCACGTCTTCGCTGGCGGCCACCGGGACGCGCTGAACCTCGCGCTGACTTCGAAGCGCACCTGGGTCGTGCTGGCCGCGAGCGTCAACTACTACGACTTCTACGCCGGCCGTCAGCAGAACCTGGGCCTCGCGGACGTCCTGGTCTGCGGCGCGCCGCGATTCACGCTGGAGGAGATGATGGCCACGCACCGGGAGGACCCCTACGGGTTTCGGGAGGCGACGGCGGCGACGGCGCCGTTTACGGCCTGGCACAACGCGGCCATTTCCCGCGAGGAAGACGCCATCAACACGCTGTTCGCGGTTCGAAAGAGACTCAGCGTGGGGCCGGAAGAGACACCCAGGTTTCTGGAGGAGGCCTTCAAGCCGGAGACGCTGAATACAATCCGAAAGATCAAAGATGTCAATAGCATCTTCAAAGCGAACCAGTTCAACTCCCAGCCGCCGCAGTCGATCTTTGAACCGCAGATGATCTTCTCAGCGACTCGCCTACAACTTTTACGTGAGTGTTTTCTTCACTGGTTTATAGTCACTCTCATCATTTTATTAACCAACTATTAGTTATCAATATTTTTAAACAGCGTAAAAGTCTGCAAGTCCTCCATTTTCACAATACTCCGTTCTTTGACCGACGGATTCTGGCCATTGTGCTACGAGCCTGCCCTTACATCGTCACGCTGGGGGTGTATAACTGCCCCTTGATTCATCTTGGGGACGTGATTCCGCTGCTGGATTTAATCTACGAAATTAACAGCGAACGCCGACGAAAGAACACCCCGCTGATAACGTCGTTCGACTTTTATCCTAGCTTTCACCAAGGATTGGCTGGCTCAGGCCGCAACGAATCCGTATACGGCCTCACGGCCGACTGTCTGGACCGAGATATTGTCCAGAGAGGCGTCTACGCCATTTTGCTCAAAAGTTTTCTGAAAGCACGTCAAATGAAGCTTCGCCTGCTCTTCGAGCCCAGACAATCACTTCGGAAGTTTCTATCACGCCTACCCAATCCGGCGCTAAGCATCCCGACGTTCTTTGACGGGCTTTCTCGATACCTGGAGAACGGGCCTCAAAAGAGGCAGGCCCTTTTCGACCTGACGAAGCCAATTCGGCTAGGCATCGAGCCGAATCTTGAAGATGACAGACATTACCGGGATGAAATGGGTAAGTATCTCCCCTTTTGCAGCTCCTGCGGCTACGAATTACTATACGAATTTTTCCCTGCCGGTGTTCGCGGGAACCCTCCAGAGCTGCGGGTGTGCGCAGGCTGCAACCTTCAGGACCTACTAGACCAGCAACAGCCCGATATGCGAGATTGGAAGGTTGGTCTGCTAGGTAAGCTCATGGAACCAGGGTGGGATGGCAGGGCCTTCAATGCCGACGCGCCCACGAGCGGCGAAAGCGAAGCACCAGAGAACGATCTGATGAGGCTCCGAACCACGGTGACGCTGCGAACCGACCCGTCACCTATCCACATTGGATCGAACGGCGAGCTCGTGCCTACGCGCTACATCATTCAGCTCATCCGGGACAATAAGTGCCCGGAGGACTCCTTAAGGAACCTGCCATCGCTGCGAGACCTGGCCGAGGACCTCGGCGAACGGTGGGGGGACCTGTTCAACCACTGCAACCGAGCAGACACGCACGCGCGTGCCCGAAGGAGGCTCCGTGATGAGGCGGAGGTCGAAGCGAAGGCCAAGGCTGAGGCCCTTGGGAGGCCCTTGACGAGGCGCCCCCACGACTACTACGGGGAGGTCTGGCGGCGGAAGAGGCACGCCCAGGAGGTGCAGACGTTTAATTACTGGACGGCGGCGCAGTTCCACCTAGCCCTTGAGCGCAAGGGCTGGTGAAAGAAAGGAGACGGTCTGCTTTTTGGAAAGGGAAAAAGGGAGGAACCAATCGGATGATAGTTGAGGCAGGAAGGCGTGGGTGTAAACCCAGTCGAAGATTTGGGAGAGATTGCTATTTTCTTTGGAGCATTGGGTAAAGGATGTCATCGCGGACAATCATGACTTTCAAAATGATAACTTATTAGCAAGCGCAGACGGAGGGAAATTATCAGCTTCTTCATACTTCTCAAATACAGGCGACTTCAACGTGGAACAACGAATTACCTACTCGATACAGGGACGATTGAGGATATAAGCACCTATACCAAGGACTGCTCGTGCTGATGACGGCAGTGGCCCGCGAGCCTCTGTCGCCTCTTCGGCCTCGGCGCACTTAAAGCCAGGTACCAGCTTGGAGGCTCATTGATTCCCACGGCCAGCCCTTTCCCTCGAGAATTTACTTGCAGTTTTGGTAGCTACAGCTCTGTGGTGGCCGTCACTGCCACCACGAGCGAGAATGGATGTTGTGCCATTACTATCTTAGCTATGTAGACGGATACTGGGGGTCGCTTCTAAGTTGTGTCTCGCGTTAGGACTGTATTATTTTTTAAAAACAAGCATTTCCTGTCTTTCTTATTGCTTATTGATTTCTTTCTCATCCCCCCCTTTTTTTCACCTTTTCTATCTGAAATCGACACGACTGCAGCTTCTTTCTTGTCTCGCCATCTTTTTCTGCTGGACTTCCTAATCGGGAATTCGTCCAGGTCACGTGCGCCTTGGTCCCCTTCACGATGTTAGCCCATCCCAGACTTTTTGCGGGCGATGCGAACGACAGCGCGGCAGACGAGAAATCCCAAGCCAACAAAGAATCCTCCCCCACGGAGCAGCAAAGAGCCAAAGATGGCGTCAATCTTCCGGACATTGGCGCTCTCCTCGCGCGCGTTCCTCCCTCGCGCGCCGACATCCGTACTCGCAGGCGGCGTGGTGTCGCCGTTTTCAAAAGTCCTGGCCCTCGGGGCGACGACGACGCAGCAGCAGATTCGGGGGATGAAGGTCCACAGCTCCGTCAAGAAGCGATGCGAGCACTGCAAGGTATGTTACTAGCCCTTTCTTTTGGTTGCAAGTTTGGGGCTGACGCTGGATGTAGGTGGTTCGACGCAAGGCGGGAAAGAGGCACAACGGCTACCTGTACATCATCTGCAAGGCGAACCCACGACACAAGCAACGACAGAGTTAGTGACGACGACTTCGGCGGTAGTCTTTCGACGAGGATGATGGGAAAAAAAAAGTACGAAATATAGACACTGGCGTGCGGCTTGGGCCTGGCGAGAGGGAGCAACCAGGGGGAGGAACAAACTTGTACGATTTACAGCACGGAAAGCGGGCATTGGGAAGAAAAGACATACCAGGCATCTTGGGCATAAGATCCTGATATTCCATGTATTTTTTACAAATTACTTTTTTTGGTTTGGGCGCGCTCAACCCCTCCTTCTCAAATTTTACATACCCCCTATATAACGCTCCATGGCGTCCCATTCCGTCTTGGCCGTGGACAGTAAATATCGTATATGTTGCTGGCAGTCGAGGCCACCCTTTATCAGTCACTTCGAACTTTCTTTTTTTTTTTCGCCCCAGGGAAGGACAGAAAAAGGACAGGGAAGCCGGACTCACTAGATCGGTGACGTGCCGGTGACGCTCCAGCTCGTCGCGGGCAAACTTTTGCGTCTCCCGCCGCGTCTGCGGGTTGCTGATGCCGCGACACCCGCGGAGAATGGTGCGGTAGAAGGAAAGGACTCTTGATCGTTGGAGGAACTAAAGGATGGGTGGGGGGGTTCAACTTTAAGCTCTTTTTCTGGAGGAAAAAGAAACATACGTGATCGAGGTTGAGGGCGCCGCCGATGCGCTTGGATGAAGGGCGTTGCGTGGCGAAGCCCCGGCTTTGGCGCGCGAGGCGTAGACAGAGAGCCATGGGGAGGGGGTATCACAGGATGAATTAGAATGTATACATGGAAAGAAAGAGAGTGAAAAGTAGTTGGCGAGAGGAGAGAGTTGAAGCTTGTAGGAAAAGCCGTTGGCAGCACAAGACAAGCCTGGGAGGTGGATCCTCGGGAATAGCCCAAGTCAAACCAGCACAGCGAATCTCAACTGACAACACAAGGTAGCAGGATTCTTTTTTTTTTTTTTTTTTTTTACGGAATCCTAGTAGATACTTTTCTCAACCCGGGTTGGGCATCTTTACGTTTATCATGGCCGCGGCTCCCCTGCCCACCAAGCGTCGCGCCGCGAGACGCGACGCGGCGCTCCGGGCCGCCGCCGACAAGGCCATCGCCGTGGCCAACAGCCTGACCGACGAGGCCTTTGTGTCTGCCTATATACAGCCCAGGTGTGTTTCGATTTTCTTCTTCGTGCGTGTCCCGCTGCCGTGAAAGAAGAAGAAGAAGGAGAATGGCTAACGGCGCAGCGAGTCCTCGTGGCCGACGTGGACGCACCCCCGGACTCGCGAGCCGCACGCGGTCAGCCTGCGCTCGCCCGGGCATATGCCCGCCACCGAGCTCGCCGCGTGCCTGGCGCTGATCGAGCGCACCAGCGGCGACGACTACCGCGCCGGCGGCGGTTGGGACCCGGCGGCCAAGGCCGCGGAGATGCGCTCGCGCGGCCTCCGCTACGTGCTCGTGCGCCACCCCGACGACGGCGGGGAGGTTCGCGGGTTCGCGTCGTTCATGTTCACATGGGAGGACGACCGGCCGGTCGTCTACTGCTACGAGATTCACCTCGCGCCGGAGCTGGAGGGGTGAGCACTACACCCACGCACGCGCTCGGCGCTGAACTGACGGGCCCTTGCAGGACAGGTCTGGGGGCGCTGCTGATGGGACACGTCATGGCGGTGGCGGGCCGCGTGGGCGGGATGACGGGCACGATGCTGACGTGCTTCGTGACGAATGAGCGGGCGAGGCGGTTCTACGAGCGCTTGGGGTTCGTGGTGGACGCGAGCTCGCCGAGGCCGAGGAGGCTGCGGGATAGGGTCGTTGAGCCCGCGTACGTTATCATGAGCCGCCCGACGACGACGACGGAGGGTAGTGGAGGTGTGGACGACGTGCCGCCCGACGAGGTTGACGGACATCGAGAGAAGAGAGCTAGAAAATCGACGTGAGCGCAGACACGACAGACGAGGAATAACGATGATATGATTATGGACACGACGATAGCAGAGCTTCAGGCAAGGGTTTCACTGGCAGGAGGGCAGCACTTCCGTACGACAGCATAACGGCGTAAAATTCATTTCATCATAGATAAAAGTGCAGGTACTATTCGCTGGCAAGTACGGGGAATATATATCAGTGCTGTGTAGCACATTCGAACATAAACTCTTTACGTGTCTAGTTGAACCATTCTTTTTCAAATACCCAACCAAAAAGACTCCGAAAAAGCAAACTGAAATTCGTTACTCTTCTTCCGTTCCATCATCCATCGTCCCAATGGCCATTCATTCCAGTTAAGCAAAGAGCTTCTTCTCATAAGACTCCATGTTAACGTTGCCCTCGAGCTGGGCGCTGGCAGTGCGGATCTCGAAGCGCAGAGTGCTGTTGCTAGCACAGGTGTGGAGCTCCTCCAGGCTGCGCATGCCGCAGTCCTGCATAGAGTGCTTGAGACCAGCAGCGAGGTACGGAATGAACTTGTTGATTGATCTAAACGAGTTGTCAGTAGGATTTTAACAGGTAGGAATAGGGGTAACATACCCTCGGTGAGCGACAGCACCGGAGACACCCTGGGCAACGAGGACACTGTCACCCTCGGAGAAGTAGCGGGCGGTACCAGCGTTGCTCTTCTGGCTGTCCTTGCCACCACTGCCGGCCTTCTTGTCCTGCATGGCATCAATGGAGCCCATGCCACGATAAGCCTTTACCAGCTTGCCCTCTCGGGAAACGAAGGAGGTGCCAGGCGACTCGGTGGTACCGGCGAGAAGACCACCCATCATGACAGTGGAAGCGCCAAGGGCAAGACCCTTGACAATGTGGCCAACGTTCTGAACACCACCATCGGCGATGCAAGGAACGCCGAAGCGGGCAGCAAATGCGCTGACGGCGTACACGGCGGCGGCCTGGGGGCGGCCAACAGCCATGACCTCCTGAGTGATGCAGGCAGAGCCACTGCCCATGCCGATACGGAGACCATCGACGCCGGCCTGAATGAGAGCCGCAGCCTGTTCACGGGTGACGACATTGCCACCAATGACGTCGAGGCCAGGGAACTCGTTCTTGCACCACTTGATCATGTCAACCTGGTACATGGAGTTACCCTGAGAGCTGTCAAGAATGACGACGTCGAGGCCAGCGTCGACGAGCTTCTTCAGGCGGGTCTTGTCCTCGGGACGAGTGCCAATGGCAGCAGCGCAGAGAAGCTGCTTGCTGTCGGGAAGCTTGGAGGCGAGGGGGAAGTGCTGGTTCTTGGTCAAGTCGGAGCGCGAGATCATCGAGACAAGGTTCTGAGCCTTGTCAACAATGGGAAGCTTGCCCTTCTTGGACTTTGCAAGAATCTTGTTGGCCTCGGCGAGGGTGACACCATCCGGAGCGGTGACAAGGTCCGTAACCATGACATCGGCAACGGTGGCGTCATTATCGTCCTCGAATTGGAGGTCGCGGTTGGTGACAATTCCGAGAAGCTTGGAGCCGAGCTTTCCGTCCTCTAATTGCGACATGTTAGCTAGTGAAAGACGGTTGTACATGTGCATTTTGTGGTGTAGGAAGAAATTTCAAGGTCATAGTAAAGGTAGTCCCCATGACAATAGTCTATACGGTGGAACGAAAGTTAAAAGTAAAAAGGTATATAATCATGTGAAGCGGGATTGGGCATTGAGCAAGAAGCAAAGCAGCGAACGTACCAGTAACGGGGAAGCCACCAAAGCCCCATTTCTCCTTGAGGGCCTTGGCTTCACCAACAGTGGTGCTGCGAGTAATAACGACGGGGTCGAGGATGAAGCCGTTCTCATAACGCTTCACCTTGCGGACCATGTCGGCCTGCTCATCGGGGGAGCAGTTGTGGTGAATGACACCGAGGCCACCCTGAAGAGCCATGTGGATGGCCATCTCGTGCTCGGTGACGGTGTCCATGGGGGACGAGACGAAGGGAGTCTTGAGGGTGATGCGCTTGGTGACGTGGGAGTCGAGGGAGACCTCGGAGGCGGGGAAGCCAATGTAGCCCGGGAGGACGAGGAAGTCATTGTAGGTGAGACCGCCGTGCTTGACCGTGTCCATGAGCTCATGGAGATCGAGGCCATCGAGGGTCTTGTACTCCTTGAGCACCTCGAGGGCGCTCTTGTGATCAAGGATCTTGGATCCGTTGATTTGAGCCATTGTATCGTCTGTCGGCAAGAAAAAAGGAGAGAGAGAAATTGCAGAGATGAGGAAACAAGTGGCGAGGTCGAAGGCGATGAGGCAATGAAACTAACTAGACGCGTTGTCTCGACTTGTTTGAATTGCTCCGACGCTTCTTCCCGAAAGAAAAAGAGGAAAAAAAGTTGGGCCAGGCCAGACGGTTGGAAATTTTTTTTCTATGGCGGACGAAGAGGGGCAAACAGGGTCCAGCTTTTTGGTGGGGTCCGCCTAAAACCTCAAGGTCGCTGCTTGGTAAGGCCTGGAAAATATCTACAGCCAGTGACACAGAGGAGGCTGCATTGAGGTCAAGGCTAATCATGATAAGTTGATGGAATGGATAGTGCTCGATATCCTCGGGATTGTGGTAATGGACCCGGTGCTGGACGAGACGGTTGCACCCGTTTCCTTGTAGCCTGCTCTGAATGGTTCCGCAAAGGACAACGTGCGGCGCCTGCAAACCGAGGAGCCCCCGCTGTAACCATATTCTCACTCGCTGTAATTCACCCACTGTGATTCGCTCACCGTCTTTCAGAGCTATGTACCATCACGACCGTCCCGTACGTTATCAACTTTTGGTATGCTTGGTTGCTCAATCATATTTTCCGGTTTCTTTTATTCAGTTGTGCTTTTATATACTCAGAGCATCTAAGGATGTGAAGGAGAGAAGGTTGAGGGAAGTTCGTGGCATTCATTGTTTTAATATACATCTCTGCTCAACACTGCCTGTCATCTTGCCTGATGCATCTCCCTCCCCCAGGACAATCATCATCTCCCAACTTGCTAATTTAGGCCACGTAGTTGACCGTGAGCTCACCTTTGCTCGTATCGTTACCGTCGTCCGTCGGCACGCTCCCGCACACGCGGCAGCCGTGGTTGCCAAGGGCGGCCAGGTAGTTGAGCGTCTGGCCCTTGTTGAAGCTGCGGTTACCAATGTTCTGGTAGAAGGCGCACAGGCGGCCCGTCACATGCCCGACGCACGCAATCTGCTGGCCGTTGGTCCACTGGCCCTCCGGCCCGGCGGCCACGGCGTCGCGCACCTTCTCCAGCGTGCCGGCCGGCGAGTGGCCGATGCCGCCAACGTTGCAGGTCGAGCTGCCGCGGCAGTTGATGCCCAGCGCGCGGGCGGCCAGCACCTCGGCGCGGACGCCGCGACGAGGACCCGGGTACTCTGCGGCGGCGCTGACGACGGACTCCTCGTCGCGCTTCTTGGCGTTGGTGACCATGTTGGCGGTGAGCTCGCCGTTGTTGACGTTGTTGCCCGGGTCGACGGGGACGGAGCCGCAGGCCTTGCAGCCGTGATCGATGATGTTCTGCACGAACTGCACCGTCTGGCCGATGGTCCACTCGCGGCCGGTCTTCTGGTAGAAGATGCACAGCGAGGGGTCGCCGATGGAGATGGAGGACTTGACGCACACGGCGTGCTCGCCGTCGCGCACCTTCTTGTTCTGGTCCATGCCGCGCAGCTGGCCCTGCGCCTGGCCGAGGAGGCCCTTGTTGCCGACGCAGAGGCCGGAGCCCTGGCAGTTGATGCCGAGAGCGTTGGCGGTGGCGGCGGTGGCGACGCTGGCCAGGAGGGTGGTGAAGGAGACCATTGCTGTTGAGATGGAGACTGGTTGGTTGTGTGGTTGTATAGTTGTGTATGCTGTTGCTAACAGGTAATCGGATGAAGACAACTGAGATGAAGTAACCTATACAGTCGGGGCACGGTCGGTCTTATATAGTAGTTGGGATGTCAAGTCAGCTCTTCATCAATTGCAATCTGTATATACCCTGCCATGTCTCATGTGGACTCTGGGTACGGAAGATGCCTTGGTTGGACCGAGCTGACATGCCGAGTTGCACCGGATCACTCCATTTTTACGACAACTGGGCCGCGACTCTCCACATGAATTGGAAATCACAGATGCATTTGGGCGGCTCGTGTACGAGATGTCGTCGCGCTTTGCGGTATAGCCTCGCCGCCCACGAGCGACGGCGATGTATCTCCGGGCATCCTAGTCCGTCGATCCCGGCGCCGCCCCGGCAGGCCCGGCAGGGGTACAATCTCGTCCACAAAATGGTGGTCAGCAATGATTTGGAAAGGACGGGAAAATGTAATCACGTCTGTCTTGTCACTTCATTCTTGATTCAGATTTGGGGCCAATACAAGACACTGACTGGGCTGTAAACATCTTCCCCCGCAAAAACTAAGGGGAATCTCCGCAAACTCGAATGACGTCGCCCGCTCGCTTTGTTTCTAGTCCATCGACCAGAACCCAACAGAACCGGACTCCTCCTCCAATCAGAGCGCATCGGTGCGTGGCCACATGGGAGCCGCGTGGGAGCTGGCCTTCTCGTTGGCGGGCTTTCCCTTCGTGTCAGTTCCCAGAGTTGTTCCGCTTCCACCTTGCCGTCAGAATATAGCGCGAGACAGAATGATGGGCTGGAACTTTCCATAGCAGCCTCAACGCTTCGACAGATGCAGCCTTGTAGGGCACAGCTTACAAACAGGGCTAAGGACATAAGCAGGGCGCAGCCGTATGAGCCACAAACGTCACCACACGAATATGTTGTGCCTTTACTTGACTACAGGGTGGGAAAGAATATCCGCATCGCGGCTAGACTTGGGAGTCCACGACGATAGCTACCCTGGAGTACTTGATCCGGTCAATGACGCCAGAGAAGCTTCCTGCAAGCGCGATTGGAAACCGTCGTCCTTGGTAGCGTCAAAATCAGTCTATCGGCGCTAAATATCTTCTTTTCCATCACCTAGGTTACGAAGTACCTTGCCTCATGTTGCGTTAAAAAAGCCGCGTGCCATGTACGCTGGCTTTCATTCGACTCGTTTGAGGCAATTGTCAATCACCAACAACCACACCGGCATTTGATTGCAGTTAAATGGACTATGCCTGTAAATCTCTAAATTAACGACAAATGTGACAGAGACCTGCCGAAACCGGGAGCAAGATAAACTTTGATATCAGCTGCAGAACTAGCGACTGATCTAACTGGTGGGAGCCATCAAGATGAAGATCACAGCCTTCACAGCCACCCCCAGAAACGGGTCCAAGTGGTGCAACCATGTACAATTCGGGAAGCTGACATGTATTATGCACCAATGAAGGAGTGAGCAGCATGTAGATCCATCATCCATGTAGAAACATGTTTTACCCAGGTACGTCCTACACTGCCACTGTTACCTCGACATTCTGCGAAAATATTGCCTGCCGCGGATCTGAGCTGGTAATCGGGAAAGTCAAGATCATTCAACAGCTATGAAATTACAAGCAGCTGGGCAGTTGGACCGTTGCCTTGATAATAAGTGATTGGCTGTAAAGCGACATCCTTCTGCACTGCAACGGTGTAAGGCCTAGCTCTAAGTTCTGGGCATTTATTAACAGATGGCGAGTCGTTTAAAAGCTCAAAACATCACTCTACGCGCCCAAGTCCATCGTCCAAGTCTCAAATAGGATGCCGATACCCCCGTCCACATATCTGCTTCCTATTAATACCTCCATTACATACGACGCCGTGATGCCTGCACACTAATATACGACACCCAGCTTTTATGCATGCCGACGGTCACATGTTCGCTTAATGCAGGGAGTTATTTCAAAGAGAACTACCAAAATTATCCTCAAAGGCTCGCTAGGAGAATACCTCCGATTCTTCACCTGTCCGTGCTGCGAACGCTCCTGCCTATTGGCGACGATACTCCTACAACTCATAAACAGCCATCCCTGAAAGTTGAGGTCATCACCAAGTCTAGGCCCAAGAGGCAAGCAAGGAAGGGACAAGAATGCGCAAATCCATTTACTTTTCTGGCGTAGCAGTTTGGCTTTCTAGGTTGGATCAGGAAGGTCCCCCGGGGACGATCATCTTGGCCGACGAACCGAACAAGAGCAAGTTACGCTACGGCAAACATGATAAAAAAAAAAGCAAAGAATAAAAGCTCCGACGTTTCTTTGGCTGTGGATCCCGGGACATGATCCCGTTCTTCATGGCAACGCCTGGTATTATTCTACTTTAATCTAGAAGGCCGCCGTCCCCGCCGCCAAGGGTCGTCTAGTCTGAAAGCCGCCTGGCGCTCTTAGAAGCAAGAAGCGACCTCCCCAATGGAGAAGGTTGTGTTTATTTTTCTCTCGAGCTCACGGCAGCGGTTATAGTTGCAATGCTGGACGATCCCGGGAGACCCTCTTCTCTCGTATCAAGTCTGAGGGCAGGGCGCGGTGTTCGGCCGATGACGAGGTGAACAAATTGGCAGAAACGAGAGAGTACAACTTGGCGGAACTATATAAAGGTACCAAGATGAGAAGCTTCAAGATGTTCTGAGCTGCTCAATCACTGGTTCTGCCAACACTCAAAGTCCCAAATACCTGCTTTCTGCCCTACTCCCCCCCCCTCCGGAACGGCAAATCAACATGGCTCTGAAGAAACTCCTTGCTGTTTCCGCCACCATGGCTGTGGCGGTCTTAGGTGCCGCTCTTCAAGCCGCCGATGAATGCGATTCAGGCGAGCCGAGCGCTGAACTGGTCGCCGCCGCGGTCCAGATGGCCGCCAACGACAAGGTCGCCGCGGCCTTTGCGTCCACGGAGAAGCGTGCCGACGTCGACGTCCCGACCTACGTCCACGTCATCTCCTCCTCCAACTCCGAGTCTGATGGCAACATTTCTGTAAGACAGTAACAAGCTCGACCCTCTCCAATGAGCCGCCTCCGGCGTGTCCTGACTCATCCTGTTTTGTCTCGCCCCATGTAGGACGACAAGGTGCGCGCCGGCATCGACGTGATGAACACCAACTACGCCGGCTCCGGCTTCAAGTTCACCCTCAAGGACATCGACCACACCATCAACGCCGACTGGACGACCACGGAGAAGAAGGCGATGAAGGACAAGCTGCACAAGGGCGACTTCAAGACCCTCAACCTCTACCTGCTGCCCAGTTTCATCCGGAGCGAGGACGACAAGACGTCGCTTAACGGCCGGTGCACCTTCCCGGACTCGAACTCCGCGAGCGCCCCGAAGCCGGACGGGTGCATCGTCCGGACCAAGGCCTGGGACAACAAGCAGACGACCACGCACGAGGTCGGCCACTGGCTCGGCCTCTTCCACACCTTCCAGGGCGAGACGAGCAGCAAGTCGTGCGACGCGAACAACGACTACGTCGACGACACGCCGGCCATGAAGAAGGATAGCAAGGACTGCAGCGGCGACGCCGACACGTGCCCGTCGGCCGGCAAGGACCCGGTCACCAACTTCATGAGCTACGCGGCCTGCCGCACCAAGTTCACCTCGGGCCAGTTTACCCGCATGAAGACCATGTATAACAAGTACCGCGCGTAATTCTGTGCGAGGGGATTGCTGCACGTGGGGATGTGCTTGGCGTTGCAGGCGTGGAGCGTTGGAGGGAGGCGTACGGAGTGATGGCGCATGACGGAGCGAGCATGAAATCGTGCATGTTATGCGTGGATGAAAGATTTGAGATGTATATGGTGTGTCGAGTTGACGATTATTCAAGTTGACTATTTTCTAGCCGATGAGTACATAGTTGTCAATGATTGAAATACAAGACGTTACGAAACATACAAAATGTAGTCGAAGCCGGCACGTTCAACACAGTCAAGCCGGGCCTGCCCCTGGCCGCTTCACTCGTCGGGCTTCCTCGGCCACCGCCAGAACATGTTGGCGCCGTCGATGCCCTTGAGCGGGTTTCCCTCGCCGCTTGTCGCGTTGCCGTGCTGCTCGTCGAAGCCGCAGGCGCGATAGAAGCCGTCCATCTTCCACGCGCTCACCACCGATGCGACCACGCCATCCCGCTGCGCGCGGTCCAGCCCCCACGCGACCAGGCGGCGGCCGACGCCGCCACCCTGCCGGTCCGGGTGCACGGCAAGCGCGTCGAGGTACCACGACTCGGCGCGGTCGCCGGTCCAGGCGGACGGGCCGAAGCACGGGTAGGCGCGCTCGATGGCGTCCTCGCGCGTCGGGTCCGCGGCGCGGTTCGGCCACAGGTATGCGTGGACGCCCATGGCGGCGGCGGAGAGGGGGCGTAGAAGGTTTCCTGGGGTAAATGAGCGTCTGATTTTTTGCGAGAGATGCAGCAGCACGGCGGACG